GCCAACACTGCAGTGAAACAAGATGAACCCTAGGAAGCAGAAGAGCCATTTCCAGACTAGATCTGCTATGTGACTATAGAAAAATGACTATAAAATGGACATTTTATTGAGCATACACAGCCAATGGACTGAGCTATGGGAGGCACAGAACCATAGGACAAATCCCTACCCTTAATAGTCTAGAGGAAATCTGGGGGCAAGATTTCCTCAAAGGTGCCTTTCTCTCATATCTAATGAATTCTGTGCACCATGTCCATAGTAAAAAGCCAACCACCATTTTTAAGAGACTCAGGATACTTTGGAGGGCTCCTTATCATCCCAAAGTATTTAATTCCATAGGGCTGTAATCATCCAATTATTTGGCTTGTCCAGTTTAATATCACGCCTGACCTCAGGAGTTCCTCTTCATGCTCAGTATCCATATAGAGAAGAGTTTCTAGACTTAGAGCTCCGGTTGAAACCCTTTACTAAATATTGTTATGATATATTCATGGTGGGGCCACCTGGGTGGCTCAGTGGCTCAGGTCATGATCCCAGAGTCCTGGGATCAAGCCCCACATCGGGCTCCCTATGGGGAGCCTGCTTCTCCCTCTGCCTATGTCTCTGCCTCTCTTTCTGTGTCTCTCAAGAATAAAAAAATAAAATCTTTATTAAAAAAGGAAGAAAGAGAAGTACATAAAATATTTAAATAATAATAATATACTTGTGGGTTGCATAGAGTCTAATAATACACCAATGTTGAGCTTTTTGTGTTAATTACTTCTTCTTGAGGATGTCTGGGAAACTTTCCTTTATTGAGAAAATTCTATTTCATGATTACAAAAAATTCCTTGACCTCTCTGTGTTCCTAGCCCACCTGATCAGCTGATTATTACATAATGGACACTCATTCTGCAGTACATATGCTTTGTGCCTTGAGTCAATGCACCTCTGTCTTGAACATCATTGATCTGTTATGTACCTAAGGCCTTGCCCCTGGAATTCAGCACAAGCCTCCTCTCCTAAGGATGAGTGCAAATAGCAGTGATAACAGGGCAGTTCTTTATGTTTGTCCTTTCACAGGAAATTGTCCTCAGCCTGTGAATCAAAAATAACATTTTATTGTCTTTCTTCTCCTACCCACCTACTCACCATCAGCCCATTCCTTCTCAAACAACGACTGTCTTTCTATCCGGTCTTGTTAACCCTTGGCTTAAAAAAGCAAATTTCCCTACATGATTGATGTTTTTAGTGTAAATCTGGAGCTTTGTCTGACAGGAATAAATAAAAAGACAAATTGTAAGTGCTTTGGTTGTCACAGCAGGGATTCCTATCATGCCATCAGCTTTCTTGTCCCCAAATGTGTGAGCTGCCTGAAAGACCAAGGTAATTGAAAGGCATGCATATACCTCTGGTTTCTCAGATATTAACGGAAATTGCTTCCTACTGTGGTTGCTTTCTGGCTCAGTGTTCTAAAAGAGAAACAGGTCATTCCATTTCTAGGACAAGTATTGAATACACTTTAGTCCATCAAGAAGGAAAAATCTCAGTGCACTGGTAGGTAGTGGGACAAATGTGGCTGCTCAGTTCTGCTAATCCTATACTAAAAATGACTCTTTTTCGGTTCTTTTTTCTTGTCTTGCCCCTCCTCTGCCTCTCTCTCCTACCTCAGAAAAAGAGTTGGTATACCTGGACACTTACTTCATTTCGTACCCAAAGTATATAGCAACTTAGTTTATCTTCAAGTTTACGATGACCTCTTCCACCAACTATTAGAAATAATCCAAATGCCTATACGGTGGGTAAGTGAGTGAGTGTGTGGGTGTAAGGAATTTTGGTATCCATAAAAAGAAAATATAGACCAGATGATACACTATGGGGTTCAAAAATTTTCATTAATACACATACTTATCTTAACCAAAAGGTAAAGGCACATGACCAGTTTTAGGGAATGCTGGGTACACCACCTGCCCAGCGTCTGTAGCTCTGACTACTTAACAACAGAATGGGTTCACAATTCTCACATGAAGCTGAGAATAGCCATGACCTTTCCAGCTGAGAGAGGAAGCCCTTGATCAAATTAACCGGTTGGTTGGCTAGTTGCCAGGTAACCCAGAGTTCCAGGGGTCATTTGTCAGATAGTTCCCCTTGCCACTCCACACCTCCACTATACCACACCTAAACATAAGAACCTTCCCTCGGTTTCAAAGGATTACAAGTGTCCCAGATTGTTGGTGGAAGGGTAGGGGAGCAGTCTGGATGGGGTTCACTAAAGTTCATAGTATTGATAAGCAGCTCTTCTGTTGGCCAATTATTAGAAAATGTATGGAGTGTCACAAGAAGATTCCATTTCATCTTGTTTTATTCTTCCCTCCCTTCCCCTATGATCCTGTTTCTTAAATTCCACATATGAGTGAGATCATATGATAATAAGGAGCTCGTTATGTATGTAAAGCAACTGATGAATCACTGAACTCTACTTCCAAAACTAATAATACACCATATGTTAATGCATTGAATTTAAATAAAACTATATATTTAAAAAACACACTCTCCAGTGTGATTAGAAGATCTTCCAAAGCAGCTTCTCTGCCCAGGTGACTTGCAGTGTCCCCTTAAATCGTGAATGATGACTTGTGGGATGTGGCTCGGCTCCCATGTAGCTCCCTGAAGCTAGTGACGGTTAATGCCCCAGTCAATTCCCTCCTCCCCCTCTGTCCCCCACTAGGTCCAGATGACGTGCACATCAGCATTTTCTGCCTTCTCCTCCAAGGTTATAGCCCACTCTAACCCAGAGGATCTTCACCTGGTCTGAGGCAGCAGGAAGGGCAAGCAGGGGAATTGTCAAATTCACACTATTCTCTTTGCAGTCAATTTTCCTGGCATAAGCAGTCCTGGCTTTCCAAAACCTTCTCTTTAGATGTTCAAGAGCTTATTTTCAGAGTTTCAAAACATTTTAAAAGACTTAATGTTGAAAGTTACATCTCCTTGCAGATTCACTGCAATGATCGTGATTCTTTTATAAACAACTACGAAGATCTCTAACTAGAGGAAAGGACAAGTGTAAGAATGTTCAGAAAAGAAAAAAGGCACAAAATTTAATATTTCAAGACAGCATCTCTCTACAACCTCATTCACTGCTCCCTCCTTCTCCTCCAACTCTTCCCTAACCCCTTACTTCTCCTTCACTAACTCTGGGAAACTTCTTTTCCAAACCTTAGTTGTCAAATCTGCTAATTTCTTTTTTTCAGACTTCATTTGACCTCTCCTATAGCAATTGATAGTGTTGACCATATCCTCTGTATTAGCTAGGAAAGGAGGGTGGTAGTGCATAAGTAGTAGTCGTTTAGCTCTCTACTTGCTTAAGACAAGAGAAGAAATTATTGGAAGGATACTGAGCTCTTCCTCCCAAGGAAATTACATGTTCAACTCTGTTTTGGGACCTGCATCTGGGCCTGGCATTTTCAAATCTATCTCCCTACCCAGGGCGGAAATTAACTCCCTAATAACAAATTCGTTGTTATTTGTTAACAACAAATAACAATGAGTTGACCTTAATCAAACATTTTTGAACACTATTGTTTTTAATCTATTTAAACCTGCTTCCTTGTAACTTCCATATATTCTCTCTGAATCTTCACTCAAGGGACAATGTGGTATATAAAACTGGGCCTGGACCAGACCTGGCTTTTAGGTAAGAACACACTGGTACAGCTATTGTGGAAAATAGTATGGAGGTTCCTCAAAAAGTAATAAAACTACCATATAATCCAGCAATTCCACTTTTGAGCAAATATCCAAAGGAATCAAAATCAGGATCTTAAAGACGTATTTCGCAATAGCCAAGATATAGAAACACCTAAGTGTCCATCCATGGAAAAAGGAATAAAGAAAATGTGGTGTATATATACAATGCAATGTTATTTGGGCTTAAAAAAAAAAAAGAGGAACATCCTACATGAATGGACCTGCTGGACACCATGCTAAATGAAATAAAGCAAAGAAAGAAAGAAATACTATATAATCTCCCTTATGTGTATAACCTAAAATAGTCACATTCATAAAGAAGAGAGTAGAATGGTGGCTGTCAGGGGCTGAGGAGAGGGGGTATATGGGGATGTGATGGCCAAAGTGTACCAAGGTTTAGTTACACAAGATGAACAAGTTCTGGAGATTCACTATACAGCATTGCTGTAGCTACGTGTTAACTATAATACCTATAGCTAATAATACTTTAACAAATACTTAAAATTTTCTTTTTTTTAATTTTTTTTAATTTTTTTTATTTATTCATGATAGACATAGAGAGAGAGAGAGGCAGAGACACAGGCAGAGGGAGAAGCAGGCTCCATGCCAGGAGCCCGATGTGGGACTCGATCCCGGGACTCCAGGACCGCACCCTGGGTCAAAGGCAGGCGCTAAACCGCTGAGCCACCCAGGGATCCCCCAAATACTTAAAATTTTCTAAGAAGGGGGCCACCTGGGTGGCTCCAGTTGGTTAAGTGTCCAACTCTTTGGCTCAGGTCATGTGGTGGGATGGAGCCCCGCATCAGGCTCTGTACTTGGTGTGTGCATAGTGCACAGTTTGCTGGAGGTCTTCTCCCTCTCTCTTCCCCTCTGTTCCTCCCACTGTTCGAGTGCTCTCTCTCTCTCTCTCTCTCTCTCTCTCTCTCTCTCTTTGTAAAATAAATAAATAAAATCTCCAAGGAAATTTTCTATGAAAAAAGATCTTATGCTGTGTTCTTACCATATAAATAAATAAATAAGTAAATGACAACAACAATGATAATAAGAGAGATAGGGGAAAACTTTCGGAGGTGATGGATGTGTTTATGGTCTTGGTTGGTGTCTACTTATCCCCAAACTCATCAAGTTGTATACAATAAATATGTATAGCTTTTTACATGCCAATCATACCTCAATAAAATAGTTTAAAAAATAAAGATATATTTAAAAAGAACACATTAGCCATTCTTCATGGAAAGATTCACAATACAGGTGAAAAAAATTCCAGAGACTAGTATCTTTAATGAGATTTTAATCATTGTCATTTTAACTAAGGTTTTGTTGAAATGTATTTATCAGTACCAGAAAAGTACACAGATATTATGTGTATATAAAAGCATATTTTAAATTCCATTTAAGCCCACTCATTTCATCTCCCACAGCTGCTTTTTTGTTTTGATGAAACATTGAAAAAGGAATAAATAGAAGGCCAATGTCTCCAATTGATGTACCTGTATGGCCCCCTGAAAAATCCAAGCATGTATTCATATGCAAGAAAACCGTTCTGTCAAATACACAATCTCTCAATAGCTCAGGCCAGAACTGATGCCTCCTACAAAAGAAAGGGGGGAGAAAGCACACAAATTGCATTTCTTGTGCTTGACACATACTAAAGAAAAGCCCCAGAGAGAAGATGGGATTGTCTTTGTCGTCAGACAAGAAGGCAGAAGGCGCCAGTGACTACAGCACAGTGGTTCAGACTTTCCAGGGGGTGCATCTCCCGACAAGATTTAGGGATCCCTGCATGTGGTGCTTGAGTCCTCATCGAGCAGCTGAGGTGGCCGCTTGGGGTGGGATGGCCGGATCTGCCTTTTTCCATTCAAGGCGCCCTTTGCCTTATTCAGCTTCACTGGGGGAAGCAAGCCAACCTCTCTGACCTTCCAGTTTTCCTGATCCACGTGTACAGCCTGGGTGTTCCGGCCCCCGGTGGGTGGGGTCGATCATGGGGGGGGTCAATCATACTCGAGGGAATCAAAGGGCGGGGGTAGTCGCCTTCCTCTGGGCTAAGCCCCTAATTTTCAGATTTAAAAAAGTCACGGTTCAGACACATTAGCAGTTTGTCCAAGAGCACACGGTTCGTGCAAGGGGTCAGGTGTGCTGCTCGTGCAGACTGGCTTTTTTTTTTTTTAAGATTTTATATTTTTTTAAAGATTTACTTATTCATTCATGAGAGACACACACACACAGAGAGAGAGAGAGAGAGAGAGAGAGAGAGAGAGAGAGAGAGAGAGAGGCAGAGACACAGGCAGAGGGAGAAGCAGGCGCCACGCAGGGAGCCGGACGCGGGACTCGATCCTGGCATCCCCCGCGGGCTGGCATCTTAACGAAGGGGCGGAGCATCCGGCTCGCGGTGGGCGGAGCCACGGGCCGCGCTGGGGTGCCCGGCGGGGCGCGGGGGGGGGGGCAGCGCAGCGCAGGGGCCGGGGCGGGGGGGGGGGGCCGGCTCCCGCGGGTTAGCGCAGCGCGGGCGGCGGGCCTCGGCCCAGGGGCTGGTGCGGCGGCGGGGCCCCCGGCGGCGGCGCGCAGGGCCGCGTGCCCGTGACCGTGACGCTCTGCCCGCGGCACCGGAGCGCGCCCGCCGCGCACTCGCTCACGGTCTGCAGGGCGCCGTCCACCTGCGCGCACACCGCAAAGCCGCGGTCCTGGTCCTCGTCCTCGCACTCGGAGGCTTCCCTGCAGACGCATCGGCCGCTCGCGGCTGGGAAAGAGACGACGGAGGCTTAGAGGCACGTGGTGGAGCTGGGGCCGCGGGGCGCTCCCGGAGATCTCAGGAGCTCCCGCCGCCCGGGAAAGCAGGAGGCGGGGAAGGACGGCATTTTGCTCCGCCCCGAATAAGCAGGGCCTGAGGCTGGCACGGCCCTGTGGGCCCATGTGTGGTCCCCATGTGGTCCCCAGGTGGTCCCAGGTGGTCCCCATGTGGTCCCCAGGTGGTCCCCAGGTGGTCCCCATGTGATCCCCAGGTGGTCCCAGGTGGTCCCCATGTGGTCCCCAGGTGGGCCAGCTCTCTCCAAGTCGGGGGCTCCCCAGTGCCCCGCTCCCCTGTGCCGCTGTCTAGGGAAGCCGGAAACGGAGCCTCCCCCAACCCCTGGTCGCATAAGGGCCTCAGAAGGGACCAAGTCGCTGCGGGGCTCAGAGGCAAAGAAAAGCATATTCGACCCGCTTTGAGAGATGGGGCCTAAGACTCAAAGGGCCACATGTCCCGTGAAAACAAGCCAGAAATGAGTTGGGGACGATTCCACCATGTGCGCTGCAGGTGCCGGGCTGGAGTTAGACCAGCCAGGTGTCTCCAAACGGAGTGACAAGGTCAGCCAGCCAGGGGTGACTGCCACTCCCAACGTGACCCAACGGGGAGAGTTCAGTGCGTCGTGGCTGGTGTGGCAAAGTGTCCAGGAGTGAGGGGGGAAGGGCCTGGCGGGTACAGGTCCAAAGGAGGGCCTGGGATGCTGGCAGAGGTCTCACAGATCACACAGTCCAGCTCCCAAATTTATAGAAGGGGAAACTGAGAGCAATGACTTGGCGCCAGCCGCCCGGGCTTTCCCCCTTGGTGAAGTAGCTAAACCTGCGGGAGGTAGGCCACGCCAAGGGTGCCGCTGTTCAAGGTCATGGTAAGCGCTAGTCGGACATAGCACTGGCAAACCTTGAACCACAACTTGAAAAAAAAAAATCACTCCTTTTTCTCTTCTTCAAATTATTCTAATTACTTCTAGGAGGAAGTGTCACCTTAGCACTGATAATGCTTTTAGGCACTTTTACCACCTCCTTAACACTTGCTAGACTCCCTTTATCCCAAAGAAGCAGCATCCCTCAAGCTGCCAGCAGCATCTGGCTAGCATCTGCAACCTTACTTTGTGTCATTATATGTATTTTTGTAGTTGCCTAATATTTATGGCAAGTGATATCTCCTTTTAAGAAAGTGATAATGAAATTTTCTTCTTAAAAAATAGTTATTTTTAGGTGAATCTATTTTTTTTTTTTAATGAGTACATAAAACGGGTAAGACAAGGACAGAGCAAAAATCATGAAGGGAGACTGGGAACCGTCAGTGTTTGGGAGGACATTCAGAGCATCGATGGTGGGTTTTTGTCCTCTTAGGTACTTGATCCCCCAGCTCCCCAGGAAAGGCTGTGGGCAAGGACAGTTACCCTTAGACCAGCCTGGGACTTTCACATCCTCAGGGATCTGCTTGGACTTGCTGCTAAACTAGAAACTACAGTTTTTAAAACCTCAGTACGACTGCCTCAGCGTTGTCCCCGTTACAATTACGAAATGCCCCTTACCATCACATTTTCCCCAGAGTGGACAGGCCCCGCAAGCTTTCTCGGTGGCGGCCGGCAGAGTACAGCTGTCACTACCAGCAAGGGTGTAATTTCGGCCCTGACAGTGGAGAACATGCATCTTGCACACTGTCAGAGGCAGTATCCTTTTGCTTCTCTCATCTCGAGCACATACATCCAAGGAGGACCTGAAACAAATGTTTTAAATTCCATTATTTAGAAGATGTTCATTCTCAAAAGTGGAAGATGAGAAGTGAAAGGAGAGGCTCGGAGCTCCGTGCCTCAGATGTTACCAGCCACAGCAAAAAGATGAAGCAGAAACTCAAATTTCCTTCTTGACTGGGGCGCACCCTCCTCAGATCTTCGAAATGAACATACTTTGCTCTTTATTGGCTCACAATTTTTACACACGTAGATACCTGGTGTTGATCTAGTTTCATCTAGAGCAGCTCAGATACAGCAAATTAGAAGAGAAGGCAAGGTCTGCTCAGGAAGCCGGGGGGTTGACAAGTAGGAAGGAGACAAAATCAGCAAAGATCACACACTCAGAGACTAGTCCAGTGGGACCATTGACTGCAGGAGAAATTAGGTCCTCCCAGCCCAGGAGCCCTCAGAGTTCATGTCCATGATACGGCATTGTCCAACACAGGATGATCAAATCCTCAAGGGAAGATGAAATCATATTTGTCAATGGGATTTTTTAAAGTATCTGTGTTTACAAAATCATTTAGGAATATTTCTATGAAAATTTATTACTTTTTGTTCCTTAAGCATGGGTGCTAAAATGGTGAGATTCAGCTTTTTAGAAATGTCACTGATAAAAACAAGCATCTTTCAGAATGTTGATGGATAAGGAAGGCATTACTATAGTGAACCCTTAAACAACAAAGTATTTTTGTATGGTAGATAGAGCCTATATTTATTTTTATATATATTTAGTTCTAATATTTTCTTCAATGACCAAGAGCTAAATTTCCTTGGAGTTATTTACATCAAATCCTTATATCTTTCTTTTATCTGCTTATTTAAGCTTTAAATCAAACTACTCAGAACAGCCTAAAGAGCAGAGACCTTGCAAAGCCACCTTGTTATCAGTATCTGATAGAAAGCTCACTCCGTGTCTACAGACAGTAGGCTGCAGAGGAACTAAATGAATCAGAGAAGTTAGAAAGAGGATGAAAGTGAATCAAAGTCAACAATGATTCATAAAGAACTAACGCCACAGTCGGAACATTCTGGTTGGACAACCACTGCCATTTACACTATTCAGGTGTATTTTTCTCACAAGAAGTCACTTCTTCTTATAAGATACCACCAAAATCACCATTGCCCACTGTTGGCGCTCAAGGAGTTGGATATGAGTCAAGTACAGTTGACCTTCCAGCAACACTGGTTTGAACTGCACCATAGGTCCACTTTTACAGGCTTTGTTTTGATATAGACAGTACTATAAATGTATTTTCTCTTCCTTATAATTTTCTTAATAGCATTTTCTTCTCTCTAGATTATTTTAAGAATACAGCATATGACACCTATAACATAGAAAATATTTATGTTATTGGTAAGGCTTCCGGTCAATAGCAGTTAAATTTTGGAGGAGTCAAAAGTTATATGTGGACTTTTGACTGTGCAGGGGGTTCAGCACCCCAACTTCTGGGTTGTTCAAAGGTCAACTATGATTAGTCAGTACATTTGTGTTTTGATTCTTAACCTTAAAGATGACCAGTAAATCTGGGGGCCCAAGTATCTCCCATTTGCCTCTCCAGATTCACTCTCCACTCTCCCCCTGCTGCCAAGAAGGCTGACACTATGAGCCACATCCACGGACTTCCTATCCTCTGGCTTTGGGTGCGTTTGATCAATGGCAGGAGATTGGAGGGATGTTTAGTGCCCTGGCTCACTGCAAGGGGGTATCTCTGAGGTCCCTAAAATGGGAGACTAAGCTCTTCCTCAGCTCCCACCTGCACAGAGTCTTCTCTGTCTCCAGCTTTGCATAAGAGCCCCTCTCATCACTCCAGGCCTGGGCACAGATATGTAGCCTGGCTGTTAGCAGTCCAGAAGTACTGCCTCGTGGCATCAGTTTCCTTCACGCTGCCCACACTTCTGTAAACAGTCCCACTAGGAAACCTCTTCTTGTCCTAATGCAATCATACCATCTGTATCCACCTAGGACCAGATCACAGACATCTAGTACCTACTTCAGAAGTCCACCTACAGCGGAGAGATTTCAAGTTGGGTGCCATTCTTACAATGCACATCTAGAGGCACAGACATTTCAAGAATGGGAAAAGCAGCACTTGTATCTGTTGGTACATTGCATTGAGAGTTTATATTTCAAGGGAATTTCAACCCTAATCTCCTCAAGCTCTAAATTCTCAAGTGACAGTGTTTTCATTTTCCTCCATCTCGTGTATAAAACAAGCAGTGTCTGAGTCCTTCAGCCTTTCTCTAGACGGAATAGAACACGGCTTTAACACCGCTGATTGTCAGCCCCCGTGACCCAGACAGCAGATGGACCAGGTTAAAACGCAAACAACTATCCTTAACCCTTGGTCAGCAACACCTTCCAACTAACAGAGACTAGCATCCACCAACACATTTTTTAAAAAATCTTGAATAAAATAAAACAGAGAGAGGCAAGCAAAGAAGAGCTTACCCACATTCATAGGGCATTTTACAAACACATCTTGAATTCTGCAGTTTCTCCCAGCGCTGACATTTAGGCCCTGCTGGTATCAAAGGAGCATCTGGAAGAAAAGGATGAGGGACATACAATCATTACAAGAGCTTCTCTGTGGTAAACAAAATGTTATTTTAATTGTTGAACCGGGTTTCTGTAATATTTTCAACTGCCACAAATTTGTACAGTCAAAAAACAAAGCTTTTTGAAGCATTTTACGGAAGACAGAGTGTTCCTAGGAGAACCCTACAAATAATGTCATTGTTAGCACTTCCTACTGTGTGAGCATTTACTATTGTGATAGTTAATCCTCCTTAATAAATGCCCACTTCAGGTTAAAGAAACTAAGGGCCAGAAAAGTTAAGAAACTGGTGCTAGTTCACACGTTTAATAGATCGGCCAAGCCGGGATTTAAGTCCATGTTTGTCTGAATTCAAGGCCAGTGGAGCAGGCTCCCTTTCATCAAGAAGTTGGTATTTATAAATTGTTGTTTGGAATGCATTTGCCCACTCTGTCTGTAGTGGAACAGAAAGCAACACAATGTGACCTGCACATGGAGAACTCCCTGGTACCCCAAGATCTATGATAACCTCTCACATGTAAATGTCTAACTGGTCTCCCTTCAATGGTGAGTAAATATCTAGAGATATTTACATTAATTAAACCCTTTCCGTTGCTTTGTGTTTTCTACAAACTGCTCAAAATCAACCATCTTCCTATTTTTATAAGAAAACACCTTAGGTCCAGCTTACAAGAGTTTAATTTGACTGCCATCCCCTCAGTCATCCCTGATTACAAGGTGAATGACCTAAAACATCCTGTTTTTTCCACCTCCTGCCAACTTCATGACAATGAAATTCAGGGACGTATATTTTCCCAACATAAAACTAGTTCTGTGTGGCATATATCTATAAAGGTAGTTTATCTGAAGAGCATATTTTTACGGAGGCACAAACTATGCATTACTTCCTCACTTGGGAAAACTTAAGGGCTTTAGACATGACAGTAAAATCTCATGAACAATTCATAACTTGTAAAAATGGCCACAATGTGAAGCATAGCCTTCCATGTCCAGCAACATCTGTAATGAATACTCATTCTTTAAACACTTCCCTTTCAAAGTTTATCCTAAATGCAATGTAGTATTCTGAATTGGATCCTGAATTGGATATAGTGAAAAAAACCAGTGATCTATAAATAAAATCTGGAGTTTAGTCAATAGTATTACGCTAATATTAGCGTCTTAGTTAACCCACTAAATTATGTCAAGGTATATGAGATGTTTATATTATAAGAACATGGTAAAGGGTATATGGAAACTATATTTGCAACTTTTCTGAAAACTAATATTATTCCGAAATAAGATGTTTTTAAAGATGGTGTTATCTAGGGGGCACCTGGGTGGCTTAGTCGGTTAAGCATCCAACTCTTGATTTCACCTCATGATCTCAGGGTCGTGAGATCAAGCCCTGCCTCAGGCCGCCTTATTTAGCAGATTCTCTCCCTCTCCCTCTCCCTGTCCCTCTGCACCCCCTCTGCTAAAGTAGCAACAACAACAATAACAACAACAAAAAGATGGTGTTATTTAGAACAGTGCTTCTCAACCAGGGGCAATTCACCAATGTCCAGAGACATTTTTGGTTATTTACTTACAGGTATCTAGTAAGTAAAGACCTGGGATGCTGCTAAACATCTTACAATGCACAGGACAGATTCCCACAACAAAGAATTACCAGTCCAAAATTCTAATAGTGTTAAGGTTGAGAAAGTCTAATCTAAATGTACCAAAACCAAGGTTCAATGATAAAGTCATATAAATGAGTTCTGCATTATGCAGAAGTTTATTTGCCAAAGACAAAGGTGGGAGGATGAAAGGAAGATGGTCAAAGGATCCAAAATTCCAGTTATAAGATAGATGGGTACTGAGGATGTAACGTGCAACACGAAGACGATACTTAACATCGCTCTATGATATATAGGTAGATTTTTGGGAGAGTGGATCCTGAGATTTCTCATCACAGGGAGAAATTTTCTTTTTTCTTAATTGTACTGTAGTGAGATGATGGATGTTAACTGGACCTGATGTGGTAAGCATTTCACAATAGATGTAAATCAAACCATTATGATGTACACCTTGAGCATCTACAGTGATCTACATCAATGATTTCTCAATAAAACTACAAAAGACATTTTTTAAAACTTTATTTACTAACCATTCATAAGAATGAAATTTTAGATTTTAAATGTTTTCTAGAAGTTATTATAATTTCTTTATGAAAAATCACTGGTAGAATCAACTAGATGAAAGACCTTTGTATTTAAGAACATAGCTTTGTTGGGCACCTGAGTGGCTCAGTGGTTGAGCGTCTGCCTTTGGCTCAGGTCGTTATCCCAGGGTCCTGGGATTGAGTCCTGCATCAGACTTTTTGCAGGCAGCCTGCTTCTCCTTCTGCCTATGTCTCTGCCCCTCTCTCTCTCTCTCATGAATGAATAAGTAAAATCTTAAAAAAAAAAAAAAACAAAAACATAGTTGTGTTATCTTCATATATGTTTATGAGACTGCATTCTGATGGAAGAAGGGAGAAATGGGTGATTAGTGTTTAATAAGTAGAGAGTTTCAGACTGGGAAGATGAGAAAGTTCCAGAGATGGATGGTGATGATGGTTGCACAATAATGGGAATGTACTTAATGCACTGAACTGTTCATTTAAAAATGGCTAAAATGGTAAATGTAATGTCTGTTTTACTACAATAAAAATAAAAAGACTCCTGATACAGCAGGTATTTTAAAACATCAGTTTTGGAGGCTGACAAACCGGGTTTCTTTTTTTTCACCTGTAATAGGCTTATTTTAAGGGAAGTTACTATTATTATTCATCATGTCTTCAAAAAAACACACAGGCCTGAAAAATATCCTTAATTAAAACTTTAATAGAATTTGCTACTGAGTAGGGGAAAATTCATACTGAATTGTGCTACAAAAGCAGACATTTTAGAAAGACAAGTATATAATATCTCATTTGGAATAAAAGAGCAACCTCATCAAGTGTACATTGTTCTCTTTAATTTCAGAATTCCTGGTACAGGCCCATAACTTCAAATATCCCTGATAAATTCATATTTATGCTTCAGTGCAGTAGAAAACAAAGCACTTGTCTCTGCTGTGGACCTTTGACAGCTAATGAACATGGAACCAATGTGGTGGGCACTCTGCTGGCCACGCTGCCCTCCCTTTCTGTCATCAGGGTCTATATTTAACACCAACAGCCTATGTCCACCATCAGCCACAGAGGGCTCTGTGCAGCCTGCCCTCCCTTCAGTTGTAACCATCTAATTCATCTGACAGTATCACTCACAGATTCTAGTACTTCATCCTCACTAAAAAAGGCAAATCTTAGCATTGAATTAAAAGTCATACACCAGAAAATAAGAATACCACATAAAATGGAATATAAGTGAGTTTTCCTTCCTTCCTGTCTTTTAATTGTCACAAATATGTATTTTCCATTTATTTTTAAAATATGTTTAAAATGTAAACAAAGAAGAAACTGGAGGCTATTTTAAAAACAAACCCATCCTACCTTAAATACCCCTAAAAAGAAATAGTTTGCTTTCTAAATCTCTTCTTATTGTAGCTTCTTAAAAGACCATTTTAATTTGCCTGGTGTTCAAAAATACTGGATTTTTGGATTTCCACTATTAAGACCAACTTCATAAACCCCAGCACTTTGCTTTCAATAACTTCTGCTTTGCAGTGTTAAATGTAAACGCTTTTAAAATTTCTATTTCAATAATGCTAATAAACTCTCTGAAAGCCCAGGAATGAAACATATAGAATTTTTTATAAATTTTCATTTCAACTCTGTATTTAATAAAAGTACCTTTAAAAACTTTAGGAAAAAAACAGAAATTATTTTTGAAAAAGCCTTTATATTGTTGGCACCAAAATGGATACAAAGCTAATTTTCAATAAGAAGGATTTAAGTTTGTTTCAGAATCACCAGAATTCTTGCCTTGCCTTGCATTCCATGAGTCTATCTGTGTCATGTGAAAAAAAAACCGTTACCCAGTCTATGAACTGACCTTCCTGTAGAAGGGCAAAGAGGGAAGGAATGATTCACAGTATGTCCATCCAGGGCCATAAAGGACCACCACAAGGAGCCTCACTCACCTGAGTGCAGGTGTCCTTGGACAGATCTATGAGCTATTCACCTTTTTTCACACACTGAACGTTCTTCATATCAGGACTCCACTTAAGGCTGGATCCACAGAGAAACGCTGAAGGACCTTCTAAGGACATGCCACCTGAACAGGAAATGGTCACCTTTTCACCAACTCCATAGAAAGGTTTGTGGGGATGACTCTGTATGCCATCCTTCAATGGAGGTAGAACACAGGCAATTTCTAAAAATAAAAGAAAACAGAATACAAGGATCATTGCTTTCCTAAGTCATCTTTTCTTAAATGATAGCTTCCAATAATGCTAATATACATGCTCTGCTTTTTTTCATATTAGAAGACAAAGAGGAAGAGGTAAGTTCACTCCTAGGATGCCCTGAAAGACATGTCCCATGGTGCCTAGCATGTAATTGACCAATGAAAGACTAAAGACCAAAACAATCCCCATTCTCCATCCCGGCCCTCAAAGCTATGTGACAATTTAAAATGAATCATCTTTATAAACAGAATCCCAAAGCCCAGGCTGCTGTCAAAACCAGACTTTTCACAGCTGCCACTTATCTTTTTGGTCTTGAAGTCCCACCAGAATTTTCCCAGGAACTCTGTTCATTTGCATATCATTAAGCATACATCCAATTAGATATTTTTACTATCTGAAAGTCTTAAAGAACCACCTTTAATCTTGCAACCATGCAAGTATTAAATATCTTTGGTTTCCCATCTCTAGTCTTTCTCACTCGATTACATTCATTATCTCAAATCTTCTACTTGAGAAAACAGCAAAGAGAAAAATGAGAAATATGCAGAGTTATGGGAAGCAAATCAGAATTTATGATTCAAAAAAAAAATCTTGGCAACCTCTCTAATGGACTTTGGACAGTATTCTACAAAATATTGCTCTGTTTCTGTACCATTTCCATCAGAAACTCCATTCATTCATTAATTCAAAAACAACATCTACTAAGTGTCTATATTTAGCCAAGTATGTTGTGAGCTGCTGGGGATGTGACAAGATACAAGTCTACAACGTTTGGTAATACCTTTCTCCTTGATGTATTTGTAGTTTGAAAAAAAATGCTGGAAGTCTGCTAAACTAAGGAGGAACTGCAGCTCAGAGGCTGAAAAATGGATAGAGTTTTTAAGAGTCTTATAGGGTTAGGGAACTAAGAGTTAGAGTCTAGTCCCATCACAAAGGAGAACCTAGGGAGAAATCCCAGACTTTCTATTGAGATCCCTTAATGGCTACACACTAGGAATAAAAGTAAACAGGACATAAAACAGCCTCACTGCTTGCCAGAAACAAAAATCAAATCTTTTCTAGAGGAAGAGACCGTCATCCAAAACCTCAAATTGTTCCCTTATTTCTTTACACATAAAGTCTAGCATTTAATCAAAACTAATCTAACATTTAAAAGGCCAAGAATTAACCAAAATCCTCCCAGAAGACAATAACAACCTGCCCACAGCAGGTCCAGATTATGGGATTAACAGCCACGGACCTTGAAAAAACTGTTATTAACAAGTTGGGAAAAAATTAAATGACAAGGTGCAGAACCTCAACAGAGAATAAGAAAATATAGAAAAGTGGATAAATGAAATACCTAGGATTGGAAAATGAAATTAAGAACTCAACAGAGTTCTTAAAAGCAGATTAATACAACTGTACAGAGAATTAATAAACTGGAAGGTAGACCAATAGAAAATATTTAGAATGAAACAGAGAGAGAGGGAAAATTATGTAAAACAAAGAAAAAAATATACATAATATACACAATCTAAAAAGTACATCATCTGTGTTTCACGAGGAGAAGTGAGCAAGAATGGGACAAAGGCAATGAGGACAGAGTGGCCAAGAATTTCCTAAAATTGGCAAAAGACATTAAATAACAGATTCAAGAAGTGCTTCGAATATCAGCCAGGGTAAAGACAAAGAAAATCACACCTAGGGACATCACAGTGGAGGTGCTTCTGAAACACAAGGACCGGGAAAAAAAATAGAAATTCTCAAAAGTAGCCAAACATAAGATTTTCAACCAGAAACAGTGAGACTTGGAGTGCAGTAAAATGTGCCTTCCCAACAGGAGCACTATCAACTAGAGACTGCTGAGGGCTTTTTCAAGACACAACTGAAACTTGAAGAGGAGCATATGAGCCTCTCTGGAAAGGGAGGTCAAGACACGGGCCACACAGTGAGCAATGATTCATCTTGATTCTCTTCCACATTATTCTCTCATCTTAAGTTATATGCTACAGCCAAGGCCACTCACTTTGACAACGCATTTCCCCAACAAGCCACTGTAAATCATCTCCACATCTGGCTACAGGGTCTCCAATAAGAGAATATCCTTCATTGCAAGTGTATACTACATTAGTCCCAACAGGAAACATGGCACCTTCATCCTAAACAGAAACAAAAGAGAGATAGAGAGAAAAAAGTATGTCTATTTTGCATTAACAGGACATTTCTCCAGATATATTTGGCCTATAAATCATGTCTTCTTTTAATCATCAGGCAAACTAAGTTCAAATAACTAATTTAGAAAATTGTCTTTAAAAACATTTTTCCCTGGATGGTCCTACCCAACCCTTGCACTACCATTAGTTGAAATAAACCCATTAACACCACTATCCTATAATTTATTGATTATCCCCGAAACACCAAGCACTATACTAAGCATTTTACTAAAATAACTTTAGTGGACACTGCCCAAGTCACTTCTTTCCCCCTACTTTTGAGGAAAATACACTTTCTTATCAGATTTTGGAAAAGTACTTGTCAGTCAGTTCTTTTTAGAGAGATGTCATGGGCTGTTCATTGGCAATACTGCCTAATAAGAGCCAGTAAGAACAGATAGGAATGTTCAAACCCTATCAGCACATTCATGAGAGTTAAGGTTTCTCACTGATGACTTTTAGGGAAACCATAGTGCTGATCTTCTCTCATCCCACCCTCCAGCCCCCACCCTGTAAGGGCAGTGCTTCTGGGGCTGGGCCAGATTCAGGGACATGGCATTAGCCCAAGATGCCAGGAGGTGAGATTTCACAGTGAAGCAAGGAAGAATTTGAAGTCTGAGACTGAAGGATGTAATCATGCTCTTCTCTTCGTCCTTTCCTTATCCTTCAGGTTCTCTGCCACCCCAGGGGTGGTGTGAAGAACATCGACCTGGGGGAGGGCTGAAAGCTGGACCTGTTACATTCCCAGCAGTAGAACAAAATTCCATGGTGCCATTTTCTTCTTGCTGTCAGTCCTGGCCCAAGTTGGCTCCATCATGGGAGTTGGGAGGAAACAGAGGGCCCAGGTTACTACCAAGGTTTGAAGAAAATGGGGAAGGATACTTGATTTGCTTTAAGTCCCTAGGCCTTCCTTTGCCTTGCAAAGGGGACTGCTATAAGGGGAAATTGGGCTCAACAGTGCCCAAACTTGACTCTGTATCAGAACCACTAGTAGCAATTCAAAAAAAGGGGGGTGGGGGGCGCCTGGGGGGCTCAGTTGGTTAAGTGTGTGACTTCAGTTCAGGTCATGATCTCACAGTCCTGGGATGGAGCCCCATGTCAAGTCCCCTGCTCAGGGGGGAGTTTGCTTGTCCCTATCCCTCTGCCCCTTCTCTGTGTTCTCTCTCTCTCTTTCTCTTTCTCTCTCATAAATAAATAAATAAATAAATAAATAAATAAATAAATAAATACTTTTAAAAAAAGACAGTTCTCAGGCTTTACCCTAAACATACAGAATGAGGAAGAAGAATAAAGAAAGAAAGATGAGGGGCAAGCAGCAATCTCTGTTGTTAAGTTCCCTGGGTGACTATGTTGTAGCCCATCTGTGGCGCAGTGTTCAGGAGTCAGGGGTTCCAAACCCAGGAGTTTGGGACAGCAGTTCAGAATTTGCTAACTATACAAGTTTGCTTGGCATTGCTCTCCAAGCCTTCAGGAATTTCATGGATTGCAGGAGCTGTATTGGAACATCTGACTGTTAGAGCTGCTGGATTTATTCTCCTCTCTCTCTCTCTCTCTCTCTCTCTCTCCACACACACACACACACACTTTTTCCATTTCCCAACAGTACCTGTATTTGGAGAATCTTCAGCAAAATGTCAGTGAGTGTATGTTTAAGGTCCTGGAATTTGAGGGGCAAATCCTTCATAGAGAAAGCAAGGCTGACCATACTGAGAGGGTCCTGCTGCACAGTATCTCCTATGTGAGCCAGGAAGACACTTCACTGGGGCTTTGGGGCCAAAGTCTCATCATAACAAGCAGCAAGAAAAATATGCATTAATATGGCCCCAAAGTAAAAAAAAAAAAAAAAAAATCCCCTAGAACGACAAGTGGTAGATGACTTGTGTTCCTTCCTGAAGAAGAAAATTGCTCAAAGTATCATGACCCATATCTCACCAACACTGGCAAAATGTCTTACTGGCTTCTGGAATAAACCCAATATTTCATCCCAAACCCCATATTTATGAAAAAAAAATTTAAAGACATGTTTTCAGGGTGCCTAGTTGGCTCAGTCAGTTGGACATCTGCCTTCGGCTCAGATCATGAGCATGGGGCTCCATACTCAGCAGGGACTCTGTCTCCCTCTCTCCCTCTGCCCCTGGCATGTACACTCTTTCTCTCTCTCTCTCTCTCTCTCTTTCACTCACTCACTCTTTTTCTCTCTCAAATAAATAAATAATAAAATCTTTTTTAAAAAGGACATTTTTCAGTGGCAAGAATAAAATTCTCTTTGTTGAAGATCTTGCTTATGGATTCCTATTTTAGCGTCCAGAATGGAAATGTTCAGCAGCCCTCTGGCATGATTACATTTCTAATTTCACTGGGCAGCAGTATTGATTTACCTTACCACAGAAGATCTACTGCCTTCTGCAGAATTCTAATCACCTTGGGCCAAAGAAGAAAAGTCACAAACTAAAACCCTCACCACTAAAAGGAAGATGCACATATAAACTATTTTTAGCTCTGTTTCATATGGAAGAAGGAAACAGATTATGACATCAGTAAGAGAGAGTACTTGGAGCAGAGAGTATATGTAAAGGAAAGCAATGTATCTTTCATAACCAACTTGAACAAATCCATCTTTCAAGGCAGGAGGTGATGGACAGAATTCTTTTGGAACCAATGACAAAGGAAAACAATGTGGTTCAATCAATCTGAAAAGTAAAGGAAACAAACATAATTAATGTGATGGATTTCCACAGTATGATAAATATTTTGCAGCACACTGAATTTTTCATGTACATCTGAAGGGACTCCGTTCACATAAATACACTGATGCAATTGCCATTTTCAAAATCGATATCTGATCATGTCCTGTAGTAGAGAACTCAAACATGAACTCAAGCTTCCAAAACATAGCTAGTAAGTCAGCAGTATGAAGAACAAAGAAGAAAGAAAAGGAAATAAGTCATTGGTCAACACACCTACTTTATATGATTTCTAGAGGTCACCTGTCTCAGACCTGCTTTTTCTCCTGCTGTCTGGATTTGAAACGCCCTTAACAGAATTAAATCTGTATTAAAAAATAAGGTAGGGCAGCCTTCAGCCCAGGGTGTGATCCTGGAGACCGGGGATGGAGTCCCATGCATGGAGCCTGCTTCTCCCTCTGCCTGTGTCTCTGCCTCTCTCTCTCTCTCTCTCTCTCTCTCTCTCTGTCTGTCTCTCATGAATAAATAAAATCTTTTAAAAAAAATAAGATAATAACAGGGGCACCTGAGTGACTCACTTAAGTGTCTGCCTTCCCCTCAGGTCATGATCTTGGATTCCCTGGGGGTCAAGCCCCACATCTGGCTCCCAGCTCAGCAGGGAGTTTGCTTCTCCCTCTCCCTCTGTGCCTCCCACCCACGTCTCCCCACTTCTCTCTCTTGCTGGATGGTTCTCTCAAATAAATAAATTTTTTTTTTAAGTAAGGCAATAACAGTTAGTGATCCTGCAAGAGAGGTACACAAAAATAGTAATTAGTTTTGATTGAGCATTTACTATGTGGTAGGCACCCTGGCAGTTGCTCCACGAATGTGCATTATCTCAGTTCACATTCACAGTGACCTTATGAGCTAAGAAAGAAAACAAAGGCTCAGAAAGGCTGAATGACTTGTCCAAGGTTATAAAGTAATAAATGTCAGGGCTGCATTCATGCTGTAGTCAGCTAGGCTCCTACAGTCATGCTCTCTCTATCACCCAGCTGGTAGGGAGCAGATCTGCTTGATGCCACAGCTGCTCCGACTCCCTTGGCCAGGCGGCCTCTGAGTTACTCAGTCAGGAAAATGTGAAACACACAAGTGCTAGTGGACCACACACACACACACACACACACACACACACACACACACGTCTCCCTCCTTCATCTGACCCCACTGCCAAGGGCAAAGGAGTCACTGATAATTAATTTCTGAATCTTTAGTCGCTGCAAATCGCTTACTGCAGAGGGCGCTGTGCTCTCTGCAATTGCCAGGAACCCTGGTGGCCATTACCTCAAATGCTGCAGCTCCTCATCCTCACAGGGGCTGCTTTCCCGTGGTTCTCCAATACAGGATTGCCCACCCTCACTGGGTGGTGGGTTATTGCATTCTCGGTGCCTTGTTTTCTTCCCTTGAACACAGGGGGTCCAAGAGGACCAGCAACTCCAACCCCCATCCACCCCTCCTGTAAGGTAAGAGAGAGGCTGTTCAGAAAGCACTTGGAGAAGATTTCAGAGTTTAGTGCTGAGCTTCCTGCTCAGGCAGTTGTTGGCAGAGGGGACAATCTGGGCACTCACTACCTTCAGGACATCTTCTACAATGACCAGAATATCTCTGCACATCGTCTAGGTTTGTCCATGTTAAGGCTGCATTACCGAATCTCTTGCAATAATAATATCTTAAATTTGTTTATTATTTTGCAACTGTTTCAGAGCACTTTTACATACATTCAACCCTTCGTTTACTTCTCACAAGAATGAATCCAGATGGGCAGGAGATCTGTCACCCATTCTCTGTTGATACATATGGAATCTGAGACAAGGTGGTTAAATATCATGCCCAGTGCTAAAACAGCTGCCAAGAGACACGTCCAGACAGCAACATGGTCTTATGGCTGGGTCTGGGCTCCTCTCATTACAGCAGTTTCTACTGTGAACATTTCTATTGTAGAAGCAGTGATTGGGCATGAGAAGGACATAATCTACCGGGTATTCCAGACCGCCGACCTCAGAGCTGGCACTGCACAAAATGAGGAAGTGCATACATAGGAGAAATGCTGTTGCCTCCTGTCAACATCCTTCAATCTGCAGGCACTTACTTGGCCCAGCCTGGCCATCTTCCAACTCAGGGCCAATTCACCACTAACAGTGCTTTTACTATTTTCCCCCAACATATTCCTTGGGGGAGGCAAGAGAGATCTTGCACTGTATTCTAAGAACTTGGCTTTCCTAGTTAGAAACTGATCTCAGAAACCAAGCCCCAAAGCATTACTTCCTGATGATGGATGTGTTTCCTGCACTGTAGCTATTTCTACTGTGTAGCCTGCACCCCTCTATTTACCCTCTCCCCTCCACTCGGCAGCCACTCTTCAGTATCACACACACCAAAAATAAACTAATTTGGTAATATTTTCCCATGAGTTCCTTTATGCTTTCTTACATAATCAGCAATTGAGTTAATAAAGTAGTTCCCTGAGCATACCAACAGAGGGTGATAACAGCTTGGTATATTGATGGCTACCCCAACCAGCAGGGGGAGCTTCCATTTTATCAAATTACAGGAAATCCAAGCCATGAAGAAATGAAATCAAAGTGGTGGAATTTCAATTTATCAGACAGGCCACTTGGGAAGAGAATTAGAGGTAAGGATGCCTTCTTGATGCTTGTCTATAAGCAACTATAGTTTAGTCATCATGTATTCATTCATTCATTAAACATTTATTAAGTGACTTCTATGAATCAAGCTCTGTTGGGCTCCGGGAATAAAAAAAAAGGAATCACAGTTCTGACCTTAAGCAATGAACTTTCTAGAGGAGAGAGATATATAAATTAATACAACATTACCTCATGCTTTGTCTACTCATGAAGTCATTCTCACATAGATCTGTACAAAAGTGCTTATAGTACCAAGAATTCAGTTGAACACATTCAGCAGATGTTCAAAAGCATTTGTGAACAATTGATTGATGGAACACAATACAAAATAGAAAGAGATATTTCAAAGAGCTTGCTGTCAGAAAGGCTAAGCTATGCATACACAAGCTCCACAGACCTATGTTACAATAAATCCTTAAGGACATGACTCTAGGACAGAGGTGTTTTAAGCATTAACCTATTCCAATGGAGAATGGAGGCCAGGGTGGGTCTGCAAATTAAGACAGGACAATGGAGAGACCCCTGGGTGGCTCAGTCGGTTGAGCTTTTTTTTTTTTTTTTTTTTTTAAGATTTTATCTATTTATTTGAGAGGGAGAGAGTGACATGAGCAGGGAAGGGGCAGGGGGAGAAGCAGATTCCCTGCTGAGCAGGGAGCCCAACAGGCTCAGAGCTCCATCCCAGAACCCCAGGATCATGACCTGAGCCAAAGGGAGATGCTTAACCGACTGAGTCACCTGGGCACCCTAAGTGTCCAACTCTTAATTTCAGCTCAGGTCATGATCTCAAGGGTCATGAGATCAAGCCCCACATTGGCTCCATGCTCAGTGAGAAATCTGCTTGGGATTCTCTCTCTCTCTCTCTCTCTCTCTCTCTCTCTTCCTCTCCCTCTGCTGGTCCCCACCCCCATCTCTCAAATAAATAAATAAATCTTAAAAAATAGAAAGATGGGAAAACAGAGACAGCAGAGGACCTTGACCCAGTAGCTAGGACCCAGAAGTGGAATAAGAAGGGTGATACTAAATTAAAATCCCCATACTCAAAGAAGCACAACCTCAGGAGCCAGATGGAAAGAGTATTTCCCTTTTCTCTGTGTCCAGCAATAACTAGCAAAAATTCAGCACACTGACCTGCTTCATTTCCTACAAGGAATCCTTGCTCACAAGCCACACCAAATGTATATGGTTTGCAATGGCACTGACATTGGGTCCCCTCAACAGTGGCAATGCCACCATTTTGGCAAGGTCGGCAATGGCAGGGGTCAAATTCATCCAGATATTCCTCAAGAGCTCGCTTCAGGTATAGTCTTTTCACAGAGGCACAAGGTACTTCCTTTACCAGCTCATACAAAGGTGTCAGCTATACAGATAAAGATATCATGGTCAGTAATCAGGGTTTTAGGCAAGAATACTTTTTTTCTGGCATTTAGGCTCAATCCCCATTAAGATAAAACGAAAAGCTACTCTTAATGTTAATTCCAATTATTTCTTGTTCAAATAAAAAGAAAGAAATTCACTTTCTTTGCAAGGCAAAGGGACAAATAGGAATGAATAGGGAAGGAATTATTTTATAACTCACATGAAATTTTTCAAAACCAACAGGACATTCATTTTCTAGTTACTGAAAGATTATTTTGAAGGCAGTACATTTCCACCCTTGCAGGGGACAGAAGACAAGGAAACACACTTAAATTACAGTGAAGAAGCCAGTTCAAATAAATTTACAATGAAATATCCTGACTCCAGGAGACTTAGCATGTCTCTTAGTGGAGATTGTGACTATTTTTCCCTGAAGAAATTTAAAACAGATAGACATAATTGCTCTGTGTTGAACATGTCCGATGAAAAGCAACTTGGAAACCCTAGAGGTGCTGGCTAAGCTTTAACAATCTGCGCTCCTAAGGGAAAAAAAAAATGTTCCACTTTGTAGCATTTGCCAATTTCTGCAGTAGAAGAACTTTCCTCATGGCCAATTTCAGGTTGCCACTGTGATGCCAATGACCACGGAGTTGGGAAGACCTATGCACCATCTGGCTCTTGTGAAGGCCCGTCCGCACTGGCTGCAGCACACCACTGCGAGTCAAGACTCAGCCATGTTCCCCTCCATCTCTGCCTGGCCTTACATTGCAGCTTGAAATAATTGACTGGATGGCATTGTGCGGACACCTACCTATAATAAGTTAGCACAGCTGTGACAGTTACAGTCTGATGTGGAGAAGAGCAGAGTTGAGAATGAGAAGGAATGTCTGTTTCCTCCTAATCCACGATTTCGAATTTTCCAAGATTTGTTATGGGGCACTGGCATTGAAAGTAGGTCATCGTGAATATCGGTGGTGGTGCTCTGTGATAAGACCTCCTCGGAAAAACTACCCTCCTCCCTCCACCCTTATTCAGAGGCAAGTGGGTGTGTGTGGTGTTAGGAGGGTGCTCAAGGAGCTGGTGTGATTTGGGGCTTTATAAAATGTATCCAGGTCAAGTTTCACCTGGGACACTGCTTGACTCCCATGATATGGAATAGACTATAGAATCAGTTCTGCTACAGCATTTGTTTTGAAAATGTGAATTTGTTGGGACGCCCGGGTGGCTCAGTGGTTGAGCCTCTGCTTTCAGCTCAGGGCCTGATTCCGGGATCGGGGATCGAGTCCCACACCGGGTTCCCTGCAGGGAGCCTGCTTCTCCTTCTGCCTGCGTCTCTGCCTCTCTCTCTCTCTCTCTCTGTCTCTCTCTCTCTCTGTCTCTCATGAACAAATAAAATCTTTTTTAAAAATGTGCATTTGTTCCATGGAGACAGATGTATTAGGAACCACTCTGAGTACATTGCAGATTTTGCATTTTCTTACATACAATTTCATCCACAAGAAAAACCAGGTGAACCCAGAAAAGTGGACACAACTGACCTGAGATAGGAATATACAAAATGCACACAAACACACACTCCAAACATCCATCCAGTTCAGTGTCTGTGTAATGAACTACACCGGTCCATGTCTGGTGCTACAACTATCATCTAGCAGTTTCTACGATCATCCAAAGGCTCTAGCCCTTTCTTCCTCCAGCAAGCTGCAAGTCTTTTTCCAGGAATCGCGCCCCATTAGTGCAGCATATGCACTCCTTAACAATTGAACACATATAAAACTGCACTGTGGTTTTCACTGATGCCTGTCTTTTTTTTTTTTTAATGAGCGTCAAAGATCAAGTTTTTTAGTTTTACATCCTTAACCCCATTTTCCCCACACATATGTGCTCCTAAAAATCAGAGAGTGTTTATTTGTGCAATCCTGCCTAGCTCTCTGATTTTTAGGAGCACATATGTTGCATTATAAAAGAAGTGACTGCATCCACAAAACATCCTAAAATTCTGCCGGCCGAATTTGTTTTATCTTGATGTATATGTCTCCGCCATGCCAGAGAAGGAAAAGATGACCTGATGAGACAGCAGACATGCCTAAATGCTTTCCTCTTACGAGAATCTATTCTTCTGAAGTAGAGACCAAGGAAAACATAATCAAATTTAGGTCAAAAGCTTACGATGCAAATTTTGTTATTAATTTCTCTTGGGATTTACAAGACATTTAACCTTTACAATTGAAATATGGACATACAAGATAATGAAGCCTCTGTTTCTCATTATTATGTATGCATTCACTGCACCATACAAAACATAATTGGGAGACAGAAAATGCTAATGAGGGCTGTCTCTGTTTAACCACCTTGATTTAATCTCATTTTCCCAGTGCGAATAAACATGCCTGCCTTGTGCTGCTTTCAACAGAGCAGGACATACCTTTTGTTTTATGACTTGGGGAAGACGAGTCACAGATTCTGCCCAGGAAGCATACCGCCCTTTGTTTCCAGCAGGATTGTCCAGCTGCAGCTTACTGAGGCCAGCCACAAAGTCTAAACTTCCCCCCCTGACATACGGGTCCCCTTGCACCATATTGCCCTGAGTTCCTACGCAAGGAGAAATCAGATAAATTAGATCAGGATGCTCAAACAAAACCAAAAGGAGACTATAAAAGTGAAAAGTCTATCAAGTACCAAAACACAATCCATCCAGCTTTTTTATATTCTGGGAAAGGAAGAACTATGGAGACAGTAAGAAGACCCATGAGTAAGAAAACCCATGATTGCCAACAGTAGTGGATGGGAGGAGGAGTACATAGGTGGAGCACGTTGGATGTTTAGAGCCGGGAAATTGCTCAGTATGATACTACATGGTGGATATATGGTATTAGACATCTGTCCACACCCAAAGAATGTACAACACCAAGGCTGAACTCTAACATAAACTATGGACTCCGGGTGATCATGATGTGTCAATGTAGGTTCACCAGCTGGAACAAATATTCCATTGTGGTGGGGAATGGACAGTGGAGAGGCCTTAGTTTCTGACAGGAGTGTACAGAAATCCCTTGTCCCTTTTTGCTCAGTTGTGCTGTAAACCTAAAACTACTCTTAAAAATATCTATTAGAGGAAAAAAGAAGGGGCACCTGACTGGCTCAGTGGATGGAAAGTTCAACTCTTGTTTTCAGCTCTCGTCATGATCTCAGCATTGTGGGATCCAGCCCCAAGTCAGACTCTGTGCTCAGTGCAGAGTCAGCTTGGGATTCTCTTGCTATCTCTCCGTTTGCTCTGTCTCTCTCAAATAAATAAATAAATAAATAAATAAATAAATAAATAAATCTTAAAATAAATAAATAAATAAATAAATAAAATCTTTAAAAAAAAAAAAAGAAAAAACACAATCATTACCCGACAGTAGATGATATCAGGGAATTGTTGTTCATATTTTTTAAGATTATATTTATTTATTCATGAGAGACACACAGAGAGAGAGAGAGAGAGAGAGAGAGAGAGAGAGGCAGAGACACAGGCAGGGGGAGAAGCAGGCTCCATGCAGGGAGCCTCACATGGGACTCAATCCCGGGTCTCAATGATGACACCCTGGGCTGAAGGCAGCGCTAAACCGCTGAGCCACCCGGGCTGCCCTATTGTTCATATTCTTAATGTTCTTGGTATTATAAGAGCATTATGTTATATAGGAGACTGCCAAGCTTCTTAGAAAATATATGCATATATTTTGGGATGAAGCATCATGAAATTTACTTCCAAATTTTTCAAATAAGATTACAAATATTTTAAATACATAATATTTATGTTATTAGATAATCCACATTATAAATATTAAATGTAGACTATATAGCAAAATGTCATAATAATCATACATATAAGAGGTGAGTATATGGGTATTTATTACTATGTTCTTTCTGTGTGTTGGAAAGTTTTCATAATAAAATAAGAGGGGAGTTCTGGAATACTAACAATAAGAAAAAAACTATTAACAGGCATACATTAACACGTGCAAAGTGTTCTAAACAGTGAATATTAATTGAATTCTTTTCGTTTTTTTTAAATTGAATTCTTTTCTGCATTTATGTGCCTTGTATGTTCAGAAATATTTTTGCCTCCATTTGTAATTGATTTTTACACTAGAAATTCCTAACTTGCAGACCAGATTTGGGGTGATTTTCCATTCATTTCTTTTCTTTTTAAGATTTTATTTATTTATTCACAAGAGACACAGAGAGAGAGAGGCAGAGACACAGGCAGAGGGAGAAGCAGGCCCCATGCAGGGAGCCTGATGTGTGACTCAATCCTGGGTCTCCAGGATGACACCCTGGGCTGAAGGCGGTGCTAAACCGCTGAGCCACCCAGGCTGCCCCCATTCATTTCTTTTAACTAATTTTGCAATTTCATAAAATTTTTCAAATTCAAAACTGTACACATTTATCAGAAATTATTAAAGCTTGACGTTTTTAATAAGTTAGCTGAGTGCTTCCTCATCTTCATTGTTAGCTCTGCCCTTAATATGCAAACAGTCTCCCATAGAAGGCAGTGAATCACAATGTTCAGTTCCTCCACGACCTGAACCAGAACACGTGGAGTGACTACACATTTCTGAGCTCCAACATCTATGAGAGAACAGCTAGGAGGAAAGCCCTGGAGTCAGTATTTTAACAAGTTTCCCCCATAGTCTCGATGTATACTAAAGTTGGAGAAATCACTGCCTTCACTGGCACACCTGTTTATGAATTACAGATTCTAAGAAACCAGTTTTATTTTTTTTAAAGATTTATGATAGACCTAGAGAGAGAGAGAGAGAGAGAGAGAGAGAGAGGCAGAGACACAGGAGGAGGGAGAAGCAGGCTCCATGCAAGGAGCCTGATGTGGGACTCGATCCTGGGACTCCAGGATCGCGCCCTGGGCCAAAGGCAGGTGCCAAACTGCTGAGCCACCCAGGGATCCCCAAGAAACCAGTTTTAATTTTATTTTTAAGCCTGTAGCCACTCTCTTCACACCTCAGTGAGCTCCCTGCTCCAGCTGGCCCTCTTCCTCCAGACAATGGACTGGTGTGACAATGAGGACTGTGAAGCCAGATGTCATGCCTTTGAATCTCATGTCTGACCCTTACCAACTGCGATCTTGGGCGACCTTTCTGTGACTCAGTGTCCCTGTCTGTATAATGGGAATATGAATAATACCTAACTCTTAGGTCAGAGGAATGTATTGGCTAATTTTTGTAAACCACTTAAAATTGTGTTGGGCACAAAGTAAATGCTACGTGTTAAACACCAAATTACATAAAGTCAGCAAGCAGCCTCCAGTCACGAGCCCAGTTGGTAACTGATGTCTACATCTTCTCAAATCTCCCACTCTCATTTCTATTTCCAGATCACTATATTTCTATCTCTTTCAAAGACCTGTCCTCCTCCTTTGTCATGCCAGTTCCAGGAAGACAGGCATTTTCTCAGGCATGTCACTGCTCGTATCCCAATGCTTAGAACAAATCCCACTGCATACCACAGGCTCCATAAACAACTGGTGAAGGAAGTGAATGAGTAAATAAACCTGGTTTCACTCTTCTGTCTCCCCCCTTCCTGCAGTCATCTGCTAGTATCTTGAGACTCCCTACTTCCTTGGTAAGAACTCTGGCACCTGGATCAGTCAATTCACCTTTGCCCCAATTTCTGCCATCACCCCAGGACAATTCAAACTCTAGCACCCTCAGTCCATTGCTACCACACTGAGAATCTCTTTATTGTAAGGCAAATATGTTGTAATCACCAAATTCAATGAAGAGTCTCCGGTCCTTCTCTTAACTTCTCTCTAAGAATTTCTCTCTGTTGACCTCTCCTTCTTTACTTTTAATCTTACTGATTTTTCCAAGCTTTTACTGTTTTTTTCTTTCTTTTTTCCTTTTTTTTAAGTAGGCTCCCTACCCAGCGTGGGGCTCAAACTCAATGACCCTGAATTCAAGAGTTGCATGCTATACTGAATGAGCCAACCAGATAGGTGTTTTCTGGTTCTTATCCTATCAGATTGTCCCTTCTCAGTCTCTCTTCTTTCTCTAAAACTTCCTTTGTAATCTTTCATTTAATCACTCCCTATATTAAATCCTTTAACAGCATCCCATGTCATCAGAATGAAATCCAAATTCCTTAACATGGCATCTAGACAGAATTTAAATCAGTTTATTTTTCTAATTCTTTTTTCAATCCCTCAAAGAATAACACATCACCTTCCCCACTCCCTCACCCTCCAGCAGCAGCAGCAGCATGCACCAAAAAATGCACTGAGCATCCATGTCAAAATAGAATTGAATCTTCTCCTGCTGGTGTCTTTTTTCTAGGCCTGATTGCCAATGTCATTGTATGGGAGAAAGTTGGTACACACTGAGGACATATTTACAGTGCACAGGATGTACCCAGTAAGCTTTCCACTCTGTATAACATCCCCCCGCCATGACATATGAAAGAGAGATCAGAGGCAAAAATAATGAGATACATTTAAAAAATAGAACACTGCTAAAATCTCACAGGCCCTTAGAGGTCAGGAATTAACCACAAAAGAGGGATAGAGATTAGGCTTTAATGCAAATTTCCCCTCTTATTTACCTGAATCTGATTTTAAGACATCTTCCAGCTTTTTGCATTTGTTCTCTGATGATGTATAAAATAAAAAATTGAACATTGAAGCAGTACATTCCTTCATATCTCCTGAACCAAGACCTGAGGAGAAAGTTTTAAAAGTGTTTAATTTCTGCATTTATTAAAGAGCCCTTTTGAAATACAGCCAGGTATGAGAATGGAGATAAGAGGTTATGTCCTACTATTGTGGCTATCTAATCAAGAGAAATATGATAGGGACATTTTCAAGTGCTCTAGAAGGGTCAAGGATCAGAAAAAGGAAAATTTGATTTTTGTTTTTAAACAAAATAATAGATACATGCATATACTTAGGAATGAAGAAGCGTCATATGTCTGAAACTTACTTTCAAATGCAAATTTTGGTTCCAATCATTTTTGATCAGAGAGGGGAGAAGATTGGGATGATTTCTACATGAAAACAGTGGAAGGAGCAGAAACTGAACACCCCAAAGAGTGATATCGTTGGCCCATTTGGTCAGCTACTCAGGCATAAAGCAAATCATTAAAAGTAGACATGTAATGGTCCCCATCCACCTACTGGAAACCCCAAAAGCTGGGTTCTGGTTCTACAATAATTGATTCCTAAAACCCTAGGTCTACTGCCTCAATCTCTCCATTTTAATATCTTTACTGTCTCTGGTTTCCAACATTTCCTTCCCACCACTCATAACCTTAGAATGTAACAATTTCTACTCATTATCAAGTGGAGTTTGGCAATACATTTTTTTAAAGAAGGATAGGAAATAATAAAGTGTGGAAATATATTTTTCTCATATAATTTTGCTAACTATACTGTAATAAACTCAGTATTTCTTTAAGAACAAGGTTATACTTAAGCAGTTTTGATTATATTTCAATTAGAACTTTTTGGAAGAACAGAAACTGCTCAAGAGTAAAATTTTTACTCAAAACTTACTTTGACCAACTTGGAAAGCTTTTAAAAATTCTCTCCATTTCTTTTAAGTACTAAGGAAAAAAGGGGGAAGCAGTGAAACTGAGTTTATATCAAGCCACGTGCTGGATTAATTTTCCAAAGAAATACTGCCTTTGTTGTTGCTTTAAAAAACAAAAACAAAATTGTGTTGTACATTCATTTCCAACCAGGGAAGTTAAAAAAGTTCAAATTCTAGTTAAGGCTTATCAGTAAAAAGTTAAGCCAAATGGGGGAAAAAAAATAACCCAATGGACATAGAAAAATATTATAGTTCACCTACAAAGGAAGGTTACAAGATCTCCTCTGAATCTCATGTAATAAGTCTTACCCTCCTCCAAGGCCTGCCTGAATAGAAAGATTCTGAAGAAATGATCAGGAACGGAGAAGGAAGTTTGGACATCGATGTAAGGAAAAAGTTGGGAAGGAGCAGGTTTGACTTGGAATATTAATAAACCAGAGCCAAAAGATCTTTGGAGAAAAATATTGGACACTGAGACACCACTCTCTCCCCTCCCACATGGGGACACCTGGTAAGGACTCTCCTCTAACTATAAGATCAAAAAATCATGAACTGAGTGGCATGCACTGATTGTAACAAAAATTGGCAACAATTCTAGCAACAACATAACATAAGAAAAAGTTCAGCTGACTTTGGAGCCAATTAGACCTCCTTACAATCTATATGCCCTTGGATGAGTCTCATCGTAACACTGAGTCTCCATTTCTCCATCTGTAAGACCAGAATTGTACTGGCCACCTCACTGGGCAGTAGTGAGGATCGTTGCTAACATATCTAACTTGCCTGTTGTAAGAAACCCATCCAGTAAATTTAAGCTATTATTACAAGAATTAGGTAGTAAACAAACCTGTGATATCCAGAGCAGATTTTTTTTTTAAAGGAATGTGAGTGATAATTAACAGAGGTAAACAAAATGCTTCTTTAAAACATTTTGACAAAAAAAATAATAAATAAATAATAAAAAATAAAAAAATAAAACATTTTGATTTCTGAAATATAATTCTTCATTAACTTTTCCTCAAAGAATATTACTCAACCTGAGAAATGGAAAAGGTTAAAAAGTATTCCAAAACTCCAATCAATACCCTCTGGAGATAAATGATAATAACTATTTCACATTTCAGGGTACTATCCAAAAGAATAGGCAGGCTTTTCTTAGAGCCTAAAGATTATGAGTAGAATATAATGGATTCTTACCATTTTGGATTCCTTTGCAATTTAATTCTATTTGTCGTATTTTAAAGCCCTGAAAGTTCAAGCTAACTACATGCCATTTCCCCCTCTAAAATCCCTACAATGATTGTATTTAATAATTTTTTAATACTCTACCGCTTTGTTTGAGTTTATGCGAGTCTACATAAAATACAACTTTGTACTCTCCTCCTAGGGACCCAGACTGCAGATAATGTGTCCCATACTGGTCGATTAATCTTCGGTAGGCACTGTAATCATATAGAGGGGGAAGGAGGGAGAGTTCCTTCCAGAACGGTTCAGCAAGGTGTAAAAATTCCGGATTATTATTGACAAACTGAGCCACTTCCACAGTGTTCTGGACAATCAGCAACTGATGATTCTATGGGAAGAAGAAAGTAAAAAGAGTTTTAGGTTGGAGATAAGTTGAATTAGTTCCCTGTCCAGTGTCTCCATCAGCTTCCACCTCCAACCAGACTATATGAATTTCTATTTTTGATGCATGATGAGGTCTTTTGTGGGCCCACTCACTTGAGGCAATCTAAGGAATTTTTGGAATCCCAAATAGGAGTAATCTCTGAGTGATAACATGGTAATTTCTTGCATATCTGACTTGAAAATCTCAAAACCAAGTTGTTACAACCTCAACTAGAAAAAGAGAATCAACTTCATTAATTTCACAAATAAGTATATAAAATGGTGTTTCCCTAGGGAGTACACATTAATAGTGACTTATAGGTAAGGTGACCATATAATTTATATCCCATCCTGAGGTCTCTCACTTCATAATGAGGGCTTTTTTTTTTATTTTAGTGTAATTAACATACAGTGTTATATTAGTTGGACATGTATAATATAGTGATCCAACACTTCCATACATCACCCAGTGCTCATCACAAGTGCACTTCTTCATCCCCATCACCTATTTCATCCATCCCCCATCTACTTCCCCTCTGGTAATCATCAGTTTGTTCTCTATAATTAAGAGTGTGCTTTTTGGTTTGTCTCTTTTCTGTTGTTGCTCATTCATTTGTATTCTTAGATTCCACATATTAGGGGTACCTGGGGGGCTCAGTTGGTTAAGAGTCTGTCTTCGGCTCTCTCAGATTATGATCCCAGGGTCCTGGAGTCAATCCCCACATCCCTCTCCTTCTCCCTCTGCTGCTTCCCCTACTTGTGCTCTTTTGAGCTCTCTGTCAAATAAATAAAATCTTTTTTAAAAATCCCACATATGAGCAAAATCATATGGCATTTGCCTTTCTCTGACTGACTTATTTCACTTAACATTATACTGTCTGGATCCTTCCACATTGTTGTTTCATTCTTCTTTCTGGATGAGTAATATTCCATTGTGTAAATTACATCTTCTGTATCCATTTATCTATCAATAGACATTTGGGCTGCCTCCATAATTTGGCTATTGTAAATAATGCTGCAATAAGCATAGGAGTGCATCTGTCTTTTTGGATTAGTGTCTGTATCCTTTGGGTAAATACCCAGTAGTGGTCACAATGAGGCCTTTGAACACTTCCTAAGCATCTTGTAATGATGTCCAAACAGATGTACTTTATGCCAAATCCTCACTTCTGTGAACAATACAGTATAAAGATAATACATCTCCTATCTCCATAGTCAGCTTGTTAGTCATAAAACAAATAAAATCACTATTCCTTTATACCACTCTGCAATTTATTAATCAAGTTACTGACTTCAAAACTGAAGGGGGAAATACAGTTTTTAAATGATGATAAGCTTGAAAAATTCTTCAGCAGTAGATGTACATCAATTAGTATAATCTATCTCAACTGTTCAGGTTGGCCAAGATAAAGGTTTTAGTATCTCAAAACAACAAAGTATCTAAAAATAAATCTTTTAACTTCCTCAGATAAAAATTTTAGTATCTCAAAAGTAATAAAGTATTTTAAAATCTTTTAGTTTCATGCACCTTCTAAGAAAGACTCTAGTATTAGTATTTAGGAAGTACATATTAATTGGATCTTTAAACTTCATATAACATTTATATAACCATGTATAGTAATCATGAATTCAAAATTTTTAAAAATTTTAACTAATAGATTTGAAAGTAATGCTTTTCTAAGAGTTTCAAATAAGAACAAATACTTTAATAAGAAAATAAAAAGGATAGGGGTGCCTGACTGGCTCAGTCAGCAGAGTATGTGACTCTTAATCTTGGTCCTGAGTTTGAGTTCCACACTGAATATGGAGTCTACTTTAAAAAAAAAAGAAAAAGAAAAAGAAAGAAAGAAAGAAAAAAGAAAAAGTATAAACAAATATATTATCCAAGAGAAATAACATGATACAATCTTACCTTTTAAAGAAATATATTACATTGTCTCTTTGAAGAAGATAATCCATTTGGTAAGTACACTTTTGTTAATGTTAGAAATATTTAAGCACTAAAATATGAAAAAGTCAACTAATATTTCATACTAACCTTGTTCTCGTGGGTTTTACTGGTATGTGAAATACGATTATATGACGAAGATGATGAAGAACTGAACAAGGAGGATTCCTTACTAGATGATGTATATTCAGCTGAGGTATGTTTTACATAAGACCAACTACTGTTGTAAAATTCATAATTAAAATCATTATTTATTTTCACCTATAAAGAAAATGAAAAATTTTTCTGTGACCAAGTTAAGGCCTTGGATATAACCAAATATCTTTTGCCACAGACCCTTTAACATGGATACTTTCTTCACAGTCTTCTCCAAAAATGGCAAAGCTCTTCATTGACACGTAATGACTGTGGCCCTCATTACAACCGGAGCCATATGAATACAAGGAATAGAGTCCATTCTATAATTCCTCTTTGTTAAGAAGGAGATATGGTATTAATAATGGCAATCCCAAGTGATTCACAGAACACATTTGTGTACCAACATCCCCCACTTTCTTTTAGTGTCAACTGTTATCCCAGAAATTAGAAAATCAACAAAATTATACTAACAGAAAACTGAATAGCACTATGGTTCTTGATTTTTCATCTAATAGAAGGGAACAGAGATGCAAATTTTTTTCCTATGATAGATGGCAGAAGAAAAGGCCATCCCAAAAGAATTTTGAAGCAGACAACAGGATCGTCAGATGTGGCTAAGAGAGAAGTGACAGCTCCAGCACTGATGAAAAAGACAATCATTTATTTATCCCTTATTTTGTCCTAGATCAAGTGTCAAAATAAAACGCCCACGGGGGCTAGCAAGTAATATAAATGTTGGAGGCATACAGTGGAAGGCAGGGTGATGAAGTGAACTCACACTGTCAAAAGAGACACCAACATTCAAATCCATCATACAGTTACCATACGTAACCATAAGTTCTAGCATTGACAGATTATATTTTTAAGAAAAGAGAGAAATCTGAATCATGACACAAAAATCTCTAGATTTTTTAAAATCATAGGCAATTAATTTGCTAACAAATGCCAGTCACCATGAAAATAAAGCAAGACATGCAAGATGACTCCCTCTCACAGTTTCTGCTTTGTATAAATAGTCAAATCACTAACTGTCCTTCCACAAGCATTTGTGTTCTTGGCATATATCCATAACATCTATGTTTGAGATCAATCAAAGTATAAATAAGCACAGGGAACATTAAAATGATGGATATCATACACTTTAAACATACACCTAAAAGGAGTGAAAATGACGGAATATCATGTAGCCATTTTAAATGATGCCTGTGAAGAAAACTATTCATGTTAAATGAGAAAGTAGGTATAAATGTGATAATCCTGTTAATTACAACCATGCAAGTATATTTCCTAGTCAAAAAAGACCAGAAAGAAATTGACTTGGCTGACTGAGTGGCTCGGTCAGTTGAGCCTCCGACTCTTGCTCTCAACTCAGGTCATGATCTCAGGGTTGTGAATTCAAGCCCCACACTGGGTTCCATGCTGGACAGGGAACCTACAGAAGAAGAGGAAGAAGAAGAAGAAGGAGGAGAAGGAGAAGAAGAAAGAAGAAGAAGAAGAAGAAAGAAGAAGAAGAAGAAGAAGAAGAAGGTAAAGAAATTCAGCAAAATGCCATACTATATAACTTTTATCACTGCCCATCAAAATTACACATGCACACTAAGAACATGCTGGAAAATAAGAAAAGATAGATTTATTCATATCTTTTGTTAGAGCATTATTTTCATTACATTGTGAAACTGGTTTGTTTAAAAGTCAAATGCAAAAATTCAGCTCAAACTGAGATGGAAAATATATGTATTATTATTGACTGCAAAGAAGACAATAATGAAAGTGCCATTAGGGCAGCCCTGGTGGCGCAGCAGTTTAGTGCCACCTTCAGCCCTGGGTGTGATCCTGGAGACCCGGGATCAAGTCCCATGGATCAAGTCCCATGTCGGGCTCCCTGCATGGGGCCTGCTCCTTCCTCTGCCTGTGTCTCTGCCTCTCTCTCTCTCTCTCTCTCTCTCTCTCTGTGTGTGTGTGTGTGTGTGTGTCTCATGAATAAATAAATAAAATCTTTAAATAAATAAATAAAAGTGCCATTAGAGATTTCTACAGCCACTAGATAGTGTCTCCATCCTATTTGGTTTTAGATAGACACAGAATTTACTTTTTATCTTTCTTAAGAAAGAGAAGCTATCTATCTTCCTTTCACTGCAAAGGGAAAAAAAGCCTATTTTTCCTCATCTTCAGATCTGCAGTTCAAACTCTTGATTAATGCAAATAAGCCTCTTTACCTGCTTTAGTTCAGCATCACCTCACTCTCAGCTACTCTACACAGAGCTACAAGAGTCATCTTTTCCAAGGTAAAATGTGATCTTCTTAAATGCCCCTTAATTAATAATCTCTCCATCCAACTTACCATACCCCAGACTGATCCTTCCTCTGAAATCACAAATCCAAATGTCCTATACCCTGCCACCTCTCAGTCTTTTGACTTTCATTCTATTATCACCATAGCTATTATTCAACTCTGTAGACACAAGTTTTTCCATTTAGTTTCCCTTCTTTCTCTCTCCCTCTCTCTCTCTTTCTCTCTCTCTCTCTCTCAGCACCTTCATTTTTCCACTTCCTTCCTTTCCAGAAAGACTTCATGGTTCATGACTTGAACCAGTCTCTCGCCAATGATCTTAACTCCCTTGCCTTAGATATGCCCAGCCATCATGCTTGTCCTGCAGAATCCCAACTCTGGTTCAATGCTCACAGCCAAGCTGCTCAGCACTACGATAGAAAAATCACATAACTATATATGGTACCACATCAGTCCACTCATGATTCCCAGTCTCATGAGGACCCTCAATGCAGTGCAGAAGCCTCATATTTCCATTTTCTTTCTCTCTCATTCTCTGCAGTATCTATTTCAAAATCTCTGTACCTACCTCCGTCCTCCAATCTTAGAACCACTCCCCTCACTCTCAGAACCTGATCTTCACCTCTTTCTTCATAAACATTCCCATTATCAGACAGAGGTCTCCTAAACTTCTGGCTAACAAATCCACAAACATATTTGCATTTCTTCTACTCCTCTTCTCCACAGGTGTCCCTCCTCCAGCTAAAGCTAATTCTGTCTCATCTCTATTGCATCCCCTCCCTCTTCTAAAGACGTATTAAATTGATGGCTTATTCCCTCTCCCACAGCTTCAATTGTTCTTTCTCTACTGGCTCATTCCTATCAAACTAATATGTATTCTAACCCCACCTAAGTAAAGCATGTTGCAAGGGCTCTGCAAACACATTTCTTGGGTTCAGATTCCATGTTATCTATTATCTCTATGATTGTGGGTGAATTCTTCAGCATTTTTTGTCTCGGTTTCCTCAACTATAAAATAAAAACGACAGTACCTACATTTTTAGATTAATTATAAAGAAAAAAAGATCTGCACCTAGGTGGCTCAGTTGGTGAAGCATTCAACTCTTGGTTTCAGGTCAGGTCATGATCTCAGGGCATTGGGATCCAGCCCTGTGATAGGCTACATGCTCAGCGGAAGGTCAACAAGGAGTCTGCTTCTCTCTCTCCCTTTCCCTCTGCCCCTTTCCCCATTAACATGTGCTCACTCTCTCACTCTCTCTCTTTCTCTCAAATAAATAAATATTTATTTTAAAAAGAAAAAAAGAAGAAAATCCATTTTAAGCACTAGAACAATGAATAGTATATAAAGGGCTCTTCATGTATGTGAGTTATTTCAGTCATCATTTAAATTATTCCTGGTTAGCAAGGTAGATTTAAAAATATCAGATATCTAGACTCATACCAACAAAGGAAACAGAAGATCAGATAATTAAGCATTAGTTAGAATTGTCTTTAGAATATGATTTTGTTGGGGCACCTGGGTGACTCAGTTGGTTGAGCATCTGACTCTAGGTTTCAGTACAGGTCATGATCTCAGGATCATCGGATCCAGCCCCAAGCTGAGCTCCATGATCAGTGGGATGTCGCTTGAGATTTTCTCCCTCTCCTGCTGCCCCTCCCCCTGCTCATGCTCTCTCTCTCTCTTTCTCTCTAAAATAAATAAATCTTTTTTTTTTTCAAGAGATTATGTTTTGGGTTTTTTTTTAAAGATTTTATTTATTTATTCATGAGAGACAGATTGAGAGAGAGGCAGAGACATAAGCAGAGAGAAGTAGGCTCTCTGCAGGAGCCCAGTGTGGGACTCTATCACTGACCTTGGGATCACGCCCTGAGCCAAAGGCAGATGCTCAATCATCCAGGTGTCCCCATAAATAAGTCTTTTTAAAAAGAATGTGATTTTGTTATTTATTTGATATGCACATAGGATCTCTTTTCCAAAATATAATGAAGTACATTCAAAACTAAATACAGGAGGATCCAGGAGATACTTCATTTCCTCAACCCTAATCCTTACTTCCATCTGCAACTCATTCCAAGTTGACAATGAACACAACAGTCTCATCAGCCTCCATGCTGAACTAGCAAAGTGGCACCTTCTCTAAGAAACCATGGAGGAAGAATATGCTTATGTGTCCAAGGCTTCCTTGTGGTATGAAAAGTATGAGGAAAAAAAGAAAAAGAAAAGTATGAGGGAACAATGTGCATGGTATCAAAGAAAGTGGCTTAGTCATCAAGAAACCAGGTTTGCCCCAGATAAACTACAATGTTAATAATGAAACAAAGATTATAAGATGTTTTGTTTTTATTTTTTAATATTTCTGTTCCAACAAGCCAAAAGTAATTTTCCACTCAGAAGTAGCTGAATACCCACTGGTTTCGGGTCTATGTGAGCTGCAGAGAGCATTTACCACCCACATCTACACACTGGGTTAGCACTTCAGTGACTGACTCATTGCCTATTGCTTCCACCTCACTTCCCTCAGGCTGGATTCTCAAAACATCTCTATTCTTCACTCAATAACAGGTTATAATTTTCCTTTACCTCTGACAAACACCTTCAACTCAAGGACTGGAAAGGCATTTCAGATGTCAATCCAAAAACCAAGCCATGCTGAAGGAAATGAATGTCAGGATTGTGCTATTATTAAATTATTTCTCTTCTTCAGAAGCTGCAGGCTTCCAGCATGTCTACCTTCCAACTATGTCAGGAATTCTCTCATTATTTTCTCTGCTCTGTAACTCTCTAAATTTGACCCAAAAAAGTATATATGCAATTATCCCTCTTATAATTATGAAAGAATTATCACCACATCCTCCTAGGAATAGAGGGAAAAAACTTTCTACATATGCCTATGTTACATTCTCCCTTCTGGCCAACAGTTAAATTACAATACATATCACCCACCATGTAGAATTTAGAGTTGAGAAAGCCATTAAATACGAGATATTGGGAGAGAAAAATATAATAGAAAAAGGAAGGGCTCTGAAATATGGCAGATTGGATCCAAGCTCTGCTACTTATTAATTTGGTGATTTAGAGCAAGTCAGCTGAAGTCCTCTGAGCCTCAACTTCTACATATATAAAATAGTAAAATACCACTTACCTTCCAAATATGTTATAAGGATTAAACATACACAAATTGCCTAAAACAGTACAGATGCCACAGTAGGTATTCAAAAATTGGCAGCTACCTTTTTTTTTTTTCAGATCAGTTTCATTTTCCATTTCCATGATTCCTTTATTTTAAAGATTTATTTAATTTGGGGTGCCTCCGTGGCTTAGTCAGTCAAGCATCTGCCTTCAGCTCAGGTCATAATCTCAGGGTTCTGGGATCCTGGGATTGAGCCTTGCATTGGGCTCCCTGCTCAGTGAGGAGTCTATGTCTCCCTCTCCCTCTTCTCCCTCTCCTCTTCCCCCTTACTCATGCACGCGCATGCATGCACTCTCTTTCTCTCTCAAATAAATAATGTATTTATTTATTTATTTATTTCAGAGAGAGAGTGACAGGGAAGGGCAGAGGGAGGGAAAGCACCTCAAGCAGACCCCCCTGCTGAACACAGAGCCCAGGGCTCCATCTCACAACCCATGAGATCATGACCTGAGTTGAAATTAAGAGTCGGTCTTTTAACTGATTGAGCCACCCAATGATGCAGTAATTCTTAAATGTAACTTATTCTATTGTAAGTCAGAAGAGGATGCTGTTGATGATCAAAACTGCATTCTGAAGAGGGTTAATTTTGGTAAACAAAAGCCCTTCTGTCTGAACATCCAAATAGTTTTGATTTACAAAATTGGGGACAATAGATAAGAAGTACTGAACTGGAGATTTTCGGAATTCTGGAAAGAAGTGAGGAAGGGAGTGAAAGAAGAGGTCTTAAAAGAAGAGAAAAGAGACCAAAATGTGATGAGAACAGAAGCTTTGATTTGTTGAGTTTCTAGAAGGACAGATGTTTTAAAATGGAGATGTCAAAATGTTTTTGTTGAATGTGTTAGCATGACTACAACAAAAAATTTCTCCTCTATATTCCCTTCAAATGTTTAGGATTCTCCCCCTTAAGCCATAACTCTATCTGTGTGAGTGGATTTTGTGTAGAAATCATGGAAAGAATGAGTTTCGGTGAGTAAGACAGAAACAGCTTGCAAGAAGAAACCTGGAACAGAAACCCTGAGACTCTAAGCAAAATGGAAAATTCTGGCAATACAGACGTTGACAAGGATATGGAGCACAGCCGCCGCCCCCCGCCCCCATTCCACACTGCTGACAGGGTCTAAATTGATGACACAAACATTTTGGAAGCTTTACTGAGTGTAACCTGTACATAACCTGCAAGGCAGCAATTCAAGCACCAGGTGTACGCCCTAGAGAAACTCTAGATCATTTGCATGGAACTCATGCACAAGAATGTGCAAGGCATTTTCATAAGAAAAAATTGGAACCAGCAATAAAAATGTCATCTACATCAGCATGAATAAATTTCAAAACCATAATTTTGAGTGAAAAAAATTCATAGAAGAATAAGTAGGATTTACTTATAAAAATGGCCAAAAAAAAAAAAAAGCAGGCAAAACTAAATCACAATTTTTTTTTTAAATCACACATTTTTATTCAGGGACAAAGACATATGAGATAAACATATACAGAAAAACAAAGAAGTGGTTAATACAAAACAGAAGCTAGTGTTTGGGGAACGAGAGTGGGGAGGATGTGACCATTGAGAGGTAGATGAGAACCGCTAAGTCGGTCATTGGCAATATTCTATTTCTTAAGGTGGTTGGTGGACATAGATGAGTATTTGTTGTATAGTTTCCCTCAAACTGTATGTTTATGTTATTCATACCCTTTCACAATTTAAAAATGAAAGCATTTTTAAGTGACACTGACACTTTGGCAGTGGTAAAGAGATTACCACAACCAGTCATGACCAGGGCCTTGAGTTATGACACCCATACAGGAACAGACCATCTAGTTTGGGGCCCATATGGCTCATGGCCTTGAAAATGAGGCAAAATAATACTTACACCTAAATGAGACAAATTAAAAGTATCACTGCCCTGAATCCCAGAGTTAAAGATATATATCATTTTTAAGCCCATATAAAACATTTGTAAGAACTGACCAAATATTAGGCCACAAATAAATTCTCAACAAATACCAAAAAATCAGTATCACATAAGTAATGATCTCTGGCGATAATTCACAGATTAAAAATAAATTAAATCAATGAAATTAAGTACCTGGAATGTATAGGAAAGGATATTTCCACTCAGTCTATAGAAAAAATTTCCATCCCCACTAAATACTTTTCTGCATTGACCACCAAAACTTTTAGTGTTGATGACTTTGTTCTTAAACTGGCCAGTGAGTTCATTGTAACTATTTAAAAAAAAAGAAGAAGAAGAAGAAGAAGAAGGAAGGAAGGAAGGAAGGAAGAAAAGACCGTTACAAACCAGAAATAGTCCTTGCTGAAAAAAGAAATTCTAGAAAATCTTGAAATATATTACAGTTAAGCATCTCTTCAAGAAAGTTCAAATAAAGAGATCAGTATCCTAAAGCACACCATACATTATTCAGCCTCCCCTGGGTAGTATAATAGGGAAAACTAATTGCTGGGGAAATCCAACATCCCTTTAGCCTAAGAACATGTTTGGTAAACACACAGCCCTTTTGTATCTAATGGCAACAGCTGGTTTTTAGTTGAATCTATAGATAAACCAGTGCAATTAAGATTACTCTTGAGGAGAAGGAAATTTGTATGACAAATTTCAACTAAATTGCTTCTTAGCTTACTGAATGGTAATACTCTTTAGAGTAATTTTACCATTTCTCTGCTAATGAAATTGAAAATATTATAGAAAAGCCACCTCAAACTACCACTCTAAAACAAATTATTTTCAAGCCTTGATATCTCAACTTGGATCTGACCCTTAAAAGTTTTTCAGAATTCTTTTTGAAAGGACAAAATGGGATTGTCCCAACTTCACCTGAAAATGAAAGTTTCCAGCTGGCTTAGACAATTATTTTTCAAGCCTAAATATTCCAACACACCACTTTCTCTCTTCTTTCTGTGTTCATACTCTATTACCTCTTCATTCTCTCCCTTTCCATAAGATGACCAACTATCTAGGTTTTCCCAGGTCTGAGGGGTGTTCCTGAACATATGACTTGCAGTGTTAAAAGCAGGACAGTCCAGGGACAATTGGACACTCCACATTTATCAGATATATTTTCAGATATACAGTTATGAATTAAAAGTGCTCACACACCTAGCTGGCTCAGTTGGGGGAGCAGTGACTCTTGATCTTGGGGTTGTGAGTTCAAGCCCTTACATTAGGGGTAGAGATTACTTAAATAAATAAAACTTTTTAAAAATTGTTTTAAATGTTTCAGGGTATAGCAAAGAGTTCTGAGCCAAAGGCTTAGCTATTATGACTTGTTATTATACTTACCAAACCATAAAATAAAACAAAACCAAATGAAAAGCTATAACCCATCAATATACACAGGAAGCTGCCCAGTACCTTACCCATTTCCAGTAAGTTCTATGTTGGGAGGAGGTTGATCAAGGTCACAGGAAGGTCTACTTTCTGAGTCCTCACATTTGTCTTCATCAGCACTATCCTCTTCACAGTCAGAATCCCCATTGCAAACCAAAGATTTGCTGATGCACTGGCCTGTACAGAAGATAAGCCCCCACAAAAAATAACAGAGGAAGAAGGGAAAAACTACTTGGGATCAAAAAGATTTTGCCTCTAGGGCACCTGGGCAGCTCAGTCAGTTGAGCTTCCAACTCTTGGTTTTGGGCCAGGTTTGATCTCAGGGTCATGATTTGGAGCCTGGTATGGGGCTCCATGTTCAGCAGGGAGTCTGCTTGAAGATTCTCTCCCTTTCCCTCTGCCTGTCCCCCTGCTCCTGCTCACTCACTCTAAAATAAATAAATAAATCTTAAAAAAAAAAAAAGATTTTGCCTCTGATCCCAACACTGCACTAATATTCTAAAGTGATTTTGAGATCAATCCTCAAGATGTCCAGGAAAGGACTGGTGATTATTTTGGTCCTCATAACACACAAAATTGATTCTGATCTCAGCTAGAAACAAAATGGAAAATAAAAACTGAATTCAAATTCCAGGCTCTCACCCATAATCAAGCTGTTTGTCTGAGTCTTCCCAAAATCAAAAGGTGTCAACCACTGGGAAGACAGATTGACATCCTGCCCTTCAACTTTCAGCTTATTTTTTGTAATTACTGACCAAGATGGCAAGGCTCTGTTTGTTTGTTTTTTGGTGATTTGATGTATAAGCTTTTGAGAACATGGAAACTGGGTCAAAAGGTTAAAACCCAACATTTCTGTGCAAGGCACTCTTCCAGATGTTAGAGTACAAATACAAATGGTAAGCTGGGATTTTCATATACCTTACAATCTAGTAGGAGGGGCTATAAAGACTTAGATCATTATAGACATAGATCCCACTATGTAATTGTTATGGTAGATGTACATCCCAGGCACCAAGGAGGCACTGAAGGGTACTAAATGATCTAACCCTTGCCTACCTCCCCAGCATCATCTCCAGCTCTTCTCCTAGCAGCTTCCTGTGCCCTCATCACACCTACATGAATAAAAGGCCAGGCTTTCTGTCATCTCCTCTGACCTTGCACTTATAGTTCTCTCAGCCTAGAAGGATTTCTGTACCTGTCATGTACTTGTCCTTCAAGAATCAAATTAAACATTATTTTTTTCTTAGAAATCATCCCTATACCACAGGCTGTAATGCATGTCCTTCGTATACATCCTCATGGTATGCATTACACACAACTGTTCTGATGGTATTTCATGCACCCCAGTGTGGTCTCACTCAATCCAATGCAACTAACATTTGTTGAGAGTCTACTATGTACCAGGTACTTCAGATGCAAAAATTAAAGGACTATTATCCATATCCTCAAGGAGTTCACAAGAGAAATAACCACGTCAACAAATACTCCAGATTACAGATGGTATGATGTACATGGGGAACACAGAGCAGTGACTTGTTAATTATCTCTATCAGTTGAGGAACTAAGGAATGCTTCCTAAAAGAGGAGTCATCTGATTTGGGTTTTGAAAGTAAAATAGGGGTTCCACAGGTATTGTCGAGGGGTACTTCTAACATAGGGATTATTTATGTACTATTCTGTCTGTAAATTTTAATATTTTTGAAGGAAGAGGCTATGTGTTTCATTTATATATCCACAATCCTCACCACTATTTCTGGACCATATTAAGAATAATAACTATTTGCCAAAGGTTGTTGAATTAATCTGACTACACAAATGCTACATAAACAATAGGTCAAATAATAGTGCCAAAACTTGAAATTATGTTTCAATCACCCTGTACATAGGAGTGATCTGTACTGCTTCTTAACTAGATAATTAGAGTTACTTTCCTGGTAAATATAATAATAACTTGGGCAGTAACATTGTTTTTGCCCAATCTTGATATACCAGACTCTCACATCTTCAACAAAAATACAATGTCAAGAACTGTTTGGGTCTGTCAATAGCCATATTTCCTTTCAAAGAAGCAAAGAGTATCTCCACCTTTATTACCAGATGAAATAATGATATTGCATTTGAAATAATGATAGCTGAGTGTGTAATAAGCCAATAAAATTAATTTTATGTCAATATAAATTCAGTAAAACTGAACAAATAAATACTGAGCAGGTTAATCAAATAACATTTTGAATTTACACTCTGCATGGAGTTTCCAAACCTATGGAAAACAAATACCTGAGAAACACCTGAAACGCTCTCCACATCCCTCTTCTGTCGGACATCCTCGTGTAGGTTCACACGGTTGTGTTTCAAATGCACTTCCAACACAAGGATGGCCGCCATACTGCCCATAAACAGCAACTGACCTCCTGTGAGTCTAAACACAAACAGATTGTGCTTTTTAATATCTCCTTTCCTTTACCTGAGAAACAAAATCTGAGAGAAATTAATACAATTGAAGAAACATTGTTCAGGAAATTGTTCTGATGCACAGATGTAAAACCTCCCAAATCAATAAACCCACAGACCTACTTGTCCTTGAGTACACTGACTCTTGGATTACTATTTATGAAGCACTCCCAGCCATATACTTATTTATTCTCAGGGTTGAGTGTAAAAAAAAAAAATCAGTGAATCTTTAAGAAAGTAACTTGAAAGAGTTCTCTGAGTAGACATATAAGCAAATAAGTTGATAAAGATGATTAATGTTTTTGCTCAAGCTATGTACCAGGAGCTAACTAGAAGGGTGACACAAATTTTGCCAGAGGGAGAGAAGGATCTTGGGAACCAGGGCTAAGGAGAAGTAAAGTTAGAACAACCTTTATAAAAGTGGTGGAATTGATTTTAGTTGGATGTTAAGCCTTCTTCAGGAAGGCAAGGCAAAGCAAAACAATCTAGAGAGAGTTATGTGTGAACATGGAAGTCAGATTTTCAGTATAGAAATCTTGGTAGTCCAAAGGTGAAGCTACCTCTGCAATGGAATTCTACTAGATAATCAAAATCATTGGCCTCTGAAATGGGAAATACGCCAAAGGCAAATCTCTGGGAGACAAAGTATGGGAAAATAGAGGAAATCATCAAGCCAACTAAGAAGCAACTAATTCGTCATAAAAGTCACTTAATCAGTGTGAAGGCATGTATTTAATATTTAAACAAAAAGAAACATCCACAAAACCCTGTCCCTCCCCAACAGCAATCAGATACATCATACAAACCTCTTCCTATACTCACCTTTTCCCTATTAAAAAAAAAATAAACAGAATCTGGCATTCCAGAGAATTTTAATGGCAAAGACTAATGGGGAAGACAGGATATACAAACTGATGTGGGGCCAGGAGTGGAATGGTCAAGAAATAATTCCTGAGATGTTGGTGCTTATATCCTTAGTGCTCAAGGGAGAGCGGATGTGCAGAGTATCAGATCATAAGTGTGTTTCTACATATAAAACCATTTTGCAGGATTTCTCTGGTGCTTATCATTGGGTTCCTTATTAACTATCAGTGAGATGAACAGGCAGTCATGAGACCCTTTAAGAATGTAGCAACCAGAGGCACCCACATGGCTCAGTTGGTTAAGTGTCTGCCTTCAGCTCAAGTCATGATCCCAGGGTCTTGGGATTGAGCTCCGCACTGGACTCCCTGCTCAGCTGAGAGTCTGCTTCTCCATCTCCCTCTGTCTGCCTCTCCTCCTGCTTGTGCTCTCTCTCAAATAAATAAATAAAATCTTTTAAAAAAAAAAAAAAAAGAATGTAGCAACCAGCACATATTTGATCCTTATGGGAATTCTGCAGGCCATAGGTCAGCCTTCTGGGCTAAACGTGAACACATTTCTACTTCTTTCCCTCATCACACACCAAGGTTGAATCTCCTCATCCATCCTAAACCAGGTTAGAGATGGAGATTCTTTCAGACAAAGGGTCACAGTATTGCAATTTGCTCTTTGAGCAGTTTTGTGTCAGCCTGGGCCTGACACTGGCACCTTCCATTAGATCTAAGTAGAGATGCCATGGAGGAATATGGGGAATGGAACACAGTACAGTTCCTTAATAAGTTTTTAGTTTCTGTATTTAATTGTTGAAGATTTCTCTCTTACGTGTCTTATTAAATTATCCTTTTGTGAAGTTCCAAAGCACAGATTGTGTTGTCTAAATAATGTTTCCCTCTCTCTGTATGTGAGGATCACTTTGATGGCTGCCCACTGTGGACAGTCTCATTCTCACTTGACAAATTCTGATCTTATGACCCTATTTTCATTTTCACTTGTCTCTTTCTGGGTGAAAATTTTGTTATTATAATCTAGGGATGTAATCATTGCATGATGACCTTCTCGCAAAGAAAAAAATTATTAATATGGCAAATACCTTCCATCTCTTTCTTATTCTTAAATTATAAAAAGTTTTCCTTATTTGGTGTTTCACTTTTGCCTTGTTATTCAAGTACCCATTTGCTTGTAATCAGAGTAGTCATTTATTTGCCCAAAGCCAAATTCTACATTTGTGTAACTTGTTTTGTAAATATCACTCATGTAGGTACTAAATGCTTGACGAAAATGATGATTATGATGATGTTTCAAAACACAAATTATCTTCTGTAATATGGTTCTGTTATTTTAATAATTAAAAAGTGATTTTTAAATACACATTTTTATTCAAGCTGAACCACCTTTAAAATATTCTGCAAATATAGAACCATGTTGTGTACCTGAAACTAATATAATGTCATATGTTAATTATATTTCAATAAAAACATATTTAATCATTCAAATGTTTAGAACCTTTAAAACAAACATTATATTTTTGGAATTTATCCTGAGAAAATTATCAGAACAGAGGACAGATTTCTTTTTTTTTTAATATTTTATTTATTTTTTTATGAGAAACAGAGAGAGAGAGAGAGAGGCAGAGACACAGGCAGAGGGAGAAGCAGGCTCCATGCAGGGAGCCCAATGTGGGACTCCATCCTGATTCTCCGAGATCACGCCCTGAGCCAAAGGCAGACACTCAACTGCTGAGCCACCCAGGTGAGAGGACAGATTTCTATGTACAAAAATGTTCACTGAAGTTTTATTTATAATAATGAAAATGTAGATAACCTAAATCTCAAACAACAGGAAAGTGGATAAATAAGACTGATATAGTCATATAATGGAAAATAATACAGCTGTTAAAATTCATGCCAAAAGTATAACTTTAAAATAGTAGAGTTGTGGAAGCCTACATGGCTCAGTCAGTGAAGAGTCTGCCTTTGGCTCAGGTCATGATCAAGTCCTACATCAGGCTCTCTTCTCAGCGGGGTTCTGCTTCTATCCTTCTATCCTTCTATCCTTCCCCCTGCTCTATCTTTCTCTCATGCTCTGTGTTTCAAATAAATAAGTAAAATCTTAAAAATAAAAAAATAAATAAAATAGTAGAGGGGTGTCCAAGTGTCTCAGCTGCTTAATTAAGCACCTGGCTCTTGATCTTAGCTCAGGTCTTGATATCAGAGTCGTGAGTTCAAGCCCAATGTTGGGCTCCATGCTGGGTGTGGAGACTACTTTAAAAAAAATGGAATATAGGGTACCTGCCTGGATCAGTCAGTGGAGCATGCAGCTCTTGATCTGAGGTTTGTAGGTTCAAGGCCCATGATGGGTGTAGAGATTACTTAAAAGCAAAATATTTTTTAAAAAGTGCAAAATGTTTCACTTTTCATGGTCGTTCAGTATTCCTTAGATAAAACAAAGCAGCTATGGTGTACTTGTTAGTGCTTGTTTTAAAATAACAAGAAAAGTTGAACCCAATAAGTATAAAACAGATTTTGAATTACCTACTAACTTCATTTCATGCTCTTCAATTTCTCTAATAGTTAAATAGTGAATTGCTTTATTCTATGTATATTTCTAGGCTCAAATGTAAGATTTAGAAAAGTCCTGCAAGAAAAATAAGAATGCAGAAATTATTACATTATTATTAAAGTCATACTTTTCTCCCTTTAAAATTACTAAATATATTTTTAAGAAACAAAAAAAATAACATGTCAAAATATCATTTGTCCATATGTAAACTATTTCTGCATATAAACAATAAATACAAATTTTTTGTATGGTCCTACCTGAGTCTTGGTACACCCGTTGCATTCTGACCATGGGGCATAGGTATCCCACTGGCAATCGACTGGCGAGGCAGCTCTGTCAAATTGTTGTAAATCAGGTAGAAAGATAAGAGAGGAGGACACAAAAAATAGTCAAAATTAATTCAAAAAAATTGCTTCACAATTTTTTAGGAGGCACCAAAAGCATCCCGAGATACTTAAAAATATAAGTGGAAGGGACCAACTTTTATAGAGATTAACATTTATTAAGCATCTATAAGGTACTAGACACTATTTAGACACCCGAGCTGTAGACACAATAAGAGATGGGTCACTGACTATTGATAGAGTAGAGGACAAAAATGAAGATATATAATCATAATACAATAATACAAACACAATCCATAATATATCTAATTTGAACAATTTCTTGACAGAAATGTGTACAGTATAATATGTTGTGAAAATAAAGATAACTGAGTGTTCACATTTGGGAGGGTAGGTGAGAACATATCGGAGGAAGTATTCGGGACTTTGAAAAGATTCTGAATAATGAATTAAAGAACTATACAGAAACTCTTAGCTAGAAGACAAAAAGCTCTAAAAAGACCTTATGAGAAGTGAGAAACTAAAAACTGGTAAAGACTAGAGGGTCAGAAATTTATTTCTAAATGCTCCCCCTGTTCATTTAGGCTACTTCTCAAGAACACACCCAAGTAGGGTCAATTTGAGCTTAAATAACTCCGCTCCATTAAAATACATGAAAAATGGAGAGTGGGTTCTCATGTGATACTTAACTCCAGCTCTGTCAAGAAGATCACATGGCTAAGTCCTAAAGGATGCCTCACCTAAAAGCACATTTTACAAGGGGTAAAGGAACTCAGACTCCTGATGTCTCAATTTCAAGCACATTCCTAGCCTTGGAGACACCTGGAGTCAAGGTGATATGTGCTTATCTTAAGCCTGTGAGATGATGCTGAAAGTAAGGGGTCCCATCTGTAGCATGTGTGCCTCACAGGCTCTCATGGAGCCAATCTTGCTAGTCTTCATCTTGACATGGCACCAATGATCCAAATGCCTCAGTGTTTTTGACCCTTAAACAATCTGAACTTGCTATTTTCCTGTGTTGTATCCCAGGGACAGGCAGAGGCCTTCCCCCACACACTAAGGTTTAGGAAGGGAAGCTACCTTGGCCTTCTCTCTTCTGTTCTCCCATAATACCCCATGAAGACCTTTCCCAGAGCCCTTAGCACATCTGTAATGAAACCAACTCTTTCAAGAGCTGATTCACCCAATGGACTCTCGGTACCGTTTTGATCCTCTTTATGTCCCCTGTCACTACCACAGGTCCTGACACATATTCTGACAGCTTGATAAAGTGAACTGACCCGGTCCTATCCCATCAAACTGACAGTGAAAGCACAAGACCATGGGTAGATGTTGGCTTTTTTCCAGGTCTCAACAGTCAATAAACCTAATCTCTTAAAAACAAAGAAAGCTCTCAACCAGATGGGAGCTACCCTTATAGGAGCATAGCATAAGGTATAGACTTGTCAAATCACTATGTTGTATACCTGAAACCAAGATAACATTGTGTATCAACTATATTTCAATTAAGGAAAAAAGAAAAAAAAACTCTCAACCTTTAAAATCCAAATGTTTTGCAATGAGAACATTTAAAGATCAAATTGTACTCTAAGTTGTGTCGATTCTAAGGTTGGTGCATTTCTCTGAATTGCAGGTAAAATCATGGTACTGGGACAAGAAGAAAACCCTGAGGTATTTTTAGTCTTCACGTTTCTTCCTTTTAAGGAATAAAATAAAATAAGAATAAGGATAAAACAAGCTTTTCCTATCATTGCCTTTTTTCAAAATGTGGAAAGATAAAGTATTGAAGGAATAAAGTTGTTCAGACTGCAATATAAAAATCAGGCCATACTAAAGAACTTTCTAAAAATAAAAAAATTAATGATTTCCAACACAATCCAAAACATTCTCACCTTGAAAAAATTTGGAAATCTCCTGTAAATCCCACCAAGATGAACAAAGTTATTACCTGAGGGGGAGGGAATAAAGCATTACTTTAAGTTTGCATTTCTTTAATGAGTTGAAAGTGAATACATTTGTACAAGTTAAGATTTGTGAGTTGGGAATATAAGGAAGAAAATTACCATGGACAAGTCTCAACTCTGCTTATCCTTTAAACTTCCATTTTAAATAAAAGTTTAATACAGTTCTGTTGAGCTCACCTCCTACTGTTCATTTCTGTAAAGACAACTCGGGGCCTGGGAATATCATGGCCAAACGAACAGAAAATTTAACCCATTAGTACATTTCTTTAGGGATCTTTTAATTCCTTTCTCCACTCCTTCGCTCTAACTTCCACACTCATAAGGACACCCAGATAGGAGAAGCCTAGAAGACAGACCAGCCAAGAGTAAGGAGTTAAAAGGGAAATAAGCTTCATAAATGAAGAGTCAACCCAAAGTTAAAGCACATCCCTAGCCAGAGGGGCAGTGAGGCTCTCCAGGCCCCTTAGTTCTGCAGGTGGCTCAGGTTTAAAACACCTCTGAGGCCTTCTGTAATCGTCTCTACATGAAAGCACCAGCCTAAATATTGAAGATCTGACAGGTCACAAAATTGTATGTAAAATGGGGTTACATTTTGTTCAAAAAATCAAACATGTATTAAAAACAAATCTAGAGAGTCACCTGGGTGGCTCAGTGGTTGTGTGTCTGACTTCGGCTCAGGTCGTGATCCCCAGGTCCTGGGATCCAGTCCCACACCGGCCTCCCCTGCAGGGAGCCTGCCTCTCCCTCTGACCATGTCTCTGCCTCTCTCTGTGTGTCTTTCATGAATAAATAAAAAAAAATATTTAAAAAGAAATCTATAAAGAAATATAACAACGGTTAATAGGATTTTTCTGGGATCAAATTATAGGTGATTTCTATTATCTTATTTTTACTTTTATGTATTTCCATACTTTGACCACTGAATGTGTCCAGGAATATAATTCAAATCTTTACTGGAGACTCTTTGAGAGTATCAAATGTATTCAATTTATAACCCGGTGTAACAGTCCTTAAAGCCATCTTACCCAGATTTTAACAGGCTGATATTCTTTCTCTTCTCCCTCAAAGCTTTTTTTCTCTCCATATAGTTGTGAAGTGGCTTCCCAACATTTTTTCCAGACCCTTCTACTTTCCTTCCTGGATTACTTACCATCTTTTTTTTTTTTTAAGATTGTATTTATTTATTCATGAGAGACTGTGAGAAAGAGGCAGACACACAGGCAGAGGGAGAAGCAGGCTCCATGCAGGGAGCCCAACATGGGACTCGATCCTGGGACCCCAGGATCAGGACCTGGGTCGAAGGCAGGCGCTAAACCGCTGAACCACCCAGGGATCCCTACTTACCGTCTTTTTACGTATCTTTCAGTTGTAAAATTCTAATTGCATACTTCTGCTTTTTATTGTTCTACAAAGCTTTTAGCCTGTTATTTTGATTGGCATGACCAAAACCCTAATAGCTGTGGGCATCCTGGAAATGAGTGAACAGTGGTGGGAAAAGTTGTGAATACTTTTCTGACTTTTCAATAAGTTTGTAAAGCAGTGTCTTTTAAAGGTTGTTGTGTTGTTTTGTTTTTTAATTAAAAACTACAAGTTTTTTTTTTCCTTTTTCAATGATGTCTTTAACTCTCTGCCATGTCAACTCATTTTTTCTGCCTGTAGGAAAGCCTATTTCATGGCTTTACTAGTCACTCCCAGGCACTAACACTCACATTTTCAGAAAACAAAAATTCTGAAACAATCTAGTAGTCAAATTTCAATTCAGTATCCAATCAATTCACTATCCTACTCCAGGGTCCTGCATGCTCATAACAGGGGTGAGAGGGTGTCTCCTTCAGAATTCTTTCTCGTTCTTTTTCTTTTCTTCCTCACCTCTCCAAGCTCCCTCTGTCTTCTTCAAAGTCACAGCAGCAGGAATGAAAGGGGCAAGAGCCAAAAAGGGTCTTGTGTGACTGAGCCAGCTGGAGATCGTGATGGGAAACCAGGATGTTTGAAAGTTGATTCTTTATCTCCCACTGCGCTTTTTGTGGTTCTTTGGATGCTCTCCCCCCCGCCCCATTGCAGATCTACAACCACTGTACTCTGGTACAAATGATTAATCTCTTTGTTCATGACTCTGGATTCTCACCAATGCTTGCCTCGTGGGAGTCCTTTCGCCTATGGATCCTACCTGTTGGGGTTGCTTCATCCTGCAGGCAGTTTGTTAAGCAGAATCCCTGGAGACCCAAGTCTGGCTCCTTCCCAAAGGTCCACTTTGAGTCTATAAGATACTTGCACATGTCCTTATCCTGTCAGACTCTAGATGTCCAGGATGTAACCAACCCTGCTGTGTTGATTTACTCTGCTAAAGGCAGACCAGTGAACCAACCTGTGGCTTTAGATTTTCCCATATATGACCAGAGTATCATTCCCTGATATGGAAATGTTGGGGTTCAGAGCAAATGGTCAAGAAAGAATTCTTGAGACATCTACAGTGCAAAAAGGTGGTTTTATCAAAGCAGGAGGACAGGACCCACGGGCAGAAGGAGCTGCACTGGAGTTGTGATGGGTAATTAACTGTATACTTTTGAGTTGGGAGAGAGATAAGGATATTGTAAGTATCTAAGGAATTTTGGAACCAAGGTTTCCCGGACCTTTAGGGGGCCCAGCTACTGTCTAATAATACCTTAGTCATGAGACCCTTCAGATATATATCACTGGGCTATATGCTTGGAGGACGATTGCTAACATGTATCTTGGGGTGGGGGAGAATGGGAGTAAAGTAAAGGAAATTTCCAAAGGAATTTTTATATGCTAAAATAGACTTACAGAATCCTGGGGGGTCAGGATAATGTTAAGCTAAGATTGCCTTTTACCCTCAGCAAACTGTCAACAACAAGGCAGCTGAGTTTCTAGAGAAAGGTCACTATTTGTTTCAAGGACTTGTCGATGGGCTATAGACAGTAAGAAAACTTAATTTTTTCTTTGGTCTTTGTTTCCCACATCATTCCCTAAATCTCCAGTACTCTAAGGGGTTGATCTTGTGTTAAGGATAGGTATACTCAAAGTGTCACCTGACAGAAGTAAAGCTACCTTTTTTTTTTCTTTTTTTGAGAGAGAGTGTACATGAGCCAGGGTCAGGGAGAGGGACAAGCAGACCGTACTGAGCTCAAAGCCCGATGCAGGGCTTAATCTCATTACCCTGAGATCATGACCTGAGCTGAAATCAAGAGTCCGCCATTTAACCAACTGAGCCACCCAGGGGGCCCTAAGCTCCCTTTTTGTAATACTGCATTTCCTGTCCAGTATCTCAGTCTAAAATGTGGGGATACGCAGCATTCTTTGTTCTTGGCCTTCAACTCTCAGCCAAAGCAGGCATCATGAAAAGATTCACTCTTAACATTCTTAACAGCTTTTCTTTTTTTTCTTTTTTTTTTTTTTCTTAACAGCTTTTAAAACACATTTTAAAAGAAATTCAACCAACTTTTAGGGAATATACTTTTTTTTTCTCATTAGGCCTGCCTTTGTCAACACCTTTCCCATATATGTACTCTTTATTATAACCTGTGAAGATCTGCTTATTACAAGGCAGTTCTCTTCATGAGTTATATAAGCTGAATCTATTAACCAAAAGAATGCCTTGAAATTTGCTAGCTGGGTCCCTGAAAATGAAGCAGTTATCATTTCCCAACTTCAGAAAGAGTATGTTAACAAATGGACAAGATAGAACAATCACAAATTAATAACAAGTGATGCAAAAATAAGTTGAAGTTGCTGTCTCTGGTCCTCTCACTGGTTGAATCGTAATTTTCCTAACATTTGGCGATGTTGTATTGGGGCCAACAAGTATATTTGGTAAACCTTTAATTGCATTCCATCCATCTGTATCCTCCACTCTCACATTCCTGATATTTCATCAAGGATTCCAAATTCTAAAACTCCAGGACTTTTACATAAGTCAAGTCATGGGGGCTCATGGCATGGCCCCAAATCAAACAAATAAACAAACAAAATACACTGGAAGGAAGTTTTCCCTAAGAAATAACAATGGTATTATTGTATTTCTTAATCGCTTTCTCAGGACTTTCATAAACATTGCCTCCAACTCTGGTTCCCAGACCTCTGAACCAGTAATTTTACTGCAAAACAAAACAAACAAACAAAAAATGGAATTCACTTTGGCCGAATTGTTAAACATATTTTAAAAAGGATTTTTTTGTTGTTTTAAGTTACCCCCAGATCTTTGTTTTTCCTATTTCCCCATGACTTCTCCTTATTTGAGTCATTTTGGTTAAGCCTCTCTCCCTTTTGAGATTCCTTCGTTCACAAAAGTAATGAAATTATTATCTTACCTTCATGTTTGGAAAAACATTCAGGGCAGAAGAAAGGAAGAAAACTTCCAGTGAGTGCCCAGTGAATTTTCAACAGCAGGAAGAGCCCAGCAGCCTGCTCCCTCTCTCTCTCCCTGCTGGGGATTAACTTGGCACTCATAAACAGAGCAAGTGGTTCTAAGACTTAGCTCCTACCCCAACCAGATTCTCTGGGGACACCAAGAGCCTGCCCCTGGACTTAGTCTATGTTTTGAAGCCAGATGCATCTTATCAATTTACACAGGCCTTAGCTATAACCAGCTGGAACTGTTTGGAAGTATAGTTCTAAGAAAACATCTGTAAATCAAGAAAGGCAGCAAATGTTCTCAGTTCAATGTTTATATGATTTTCAACCAAAGGAGACTTTATGTGAGGCAAGGGATAAACCCCCTTCCTGTTTCAGTCTTCTAAACTAAGCGGCTGTTTTCATGATTCTCTTAAAGGGTGTTGTACACCAAACTTTGAGATTAAACACTGTGATATATAAATGCAGTTCTGTCACTCAGGATATAAGTGGAACATTCTGGAGTGGAATCTCCACTCCTCCCCCCAACAAAAAAAAAAAAAAAGGAAAACAATACAACTATACTATATATATATATATATATATATATATATATATATATACATATATATATATATATATAGTATACTATAGTTGTGTATACACACACACACACACACACACACACACACACACACGGCCTAACACAGTATTACATTCATTTCCTCGTGTTTGACTTTCACAGAATGGTCAAAAACAGCATCATGTTTTGCAAACATTGAATAGCATCACCAATTTCCCCAAGTTCTTCCCTTAATCCTTTTTGGAGATCACTGTTGGAAAGTTCCTATCATTGGTCATCATCATCCGTCCATCCATTATCTCCTCCCCCATTATTGTCTTGCCTAGTTCTTATAGATCCTCATTCCCCACAGGTTTGCATTGATTCTAGCATTTCTCAACATCACTTTCATAGACTGCAGGAAAGCTGCATTTTAGGGGCAAGAGTTCAGATTTTTTACTGAAGCTAAGCTATGGTTTGATTCACATGGTTTGGCCAAATATTCTGACGCTTGCTGCTAGGGCATTATAAGTAGGCGAGACTCAAGTGTTAAGTGGGAAAGGGATTTTGAGTTGAGAGTAATTTTATAACTAAACATTCCATTAGTGAATACTTTCCAAAAAAAACATATTTTCCAGTTTTAATGATTTATTTCTTTCTTTATCCTAAAAATTTGAATAATAGAGACCGCCCCCATCTTCCTCTTATAAATTAGTGTTGGGCTTCCAGAGATAAACTTTCCACATCTTTTGTTAAAATCATTAGTGATTTGTGTGGGAGAGATTTTGCAACAGAGAAGATGACTCCCTAATTCCTGAAAGATTTTTTTTTTAATTCAACTCCAGTTGCATGATTTCCAGATGTTATGGACTCTTCTTTTTTTTTTTTTTTAAATAAATTAATTTTTATTGGTGTTCAATTTACCAACATACAGAATAACACCCAGTGCTCATCCCGTCAAGTGTTTATGGACTCTTCTTAAGAACTCATTGTGCAGAGGAGACTGAGTGACTCGGTTGGTGGTGTGTGTGAGTCTTGATCTTCGGGTTGTGAGTTCAAGCCCTATGTTGGGTGTGGAGATTACAGAAAAATGAAATCTTTAAAAAAAAAAAAAAAGTACTCAATGTACAATTCTACATTCAAGGACTCATTTGCATTTCCCTGAAAGCAGATTCTGAGACAGGAAATCGATTGCAAGTAGGCTTTTTGAGGGGGGTTGGGGGGCTTTTGTTTTTTTTTATTTGGGTTTTGGCTGGGTTATTTGTGTGGTTTTGTTTGGTTTTCTGATTTGAGAAGTGATCATAGCTGAGGGATGGAAAAGGGAGACAAGGAAGGAGAGGTCACCAGTAAAAGGTACTTTGCCTTGTGGCAATTAGAACTCAGTCCCAGTGTGGAAATCTGGGGGACACTGCAGAGCACTTCTCAGAGCTATTCCAACTAAGTGAATATATCAACCAATACCCTCTCTGATTGAGGGTGGCTCCTAGACTCAACTCTCTAACACTTCCAATTTGCCTTGGAGGTAGGCTGAGCAGCCCTGGTAGTTAGGGCAGGAAAGGGCCTTCAGGAAGACTGTTGCAGGTATCAGCAGTATTTGCAGGTATTTGCTTTTGTCATGTAGCGAAAACTGCTGGGGGGATATAATAAGTAGATACCAACAGCACTGCTGTGGTAGCCTGTCATTCATACATGAATGCATTCATTTATTTGTTTATTCTAATTCAACAAATATTTACTGAGGACACATAATATAATAGGCTATAGATTTTGACAGCAATATCTTTTATTATTTTTATTCCTTACATGCTATAAAGATCATATGAGCCCATGTATAGAATATCCTTAGTCTAGAGGATGACACATGCATGCAGTATACCTATAATGATTTAGAACTTGAATTGTGCAACTCACAGGGACTATATCCCAGAGAACATTTAAAAAGTTTGCAAAAACTTCCTTTCCCCAAGTGTTTTGCAGTCTCCCATCTCCATATCTTTGCTCTCACATGAATAGTGTTTCTTCAACTGTTGGCATTTCAGTGGAGGAGCCATTAGAACAAAAGCTTTAAGTGCAGGTGGGAACCTTACTCCACTCCCCTCAGGTGGGAGATTTGACTGCTGGCATACGTTGTGTGAACTTAATTCAAAGGACAATAGGAACTCACTCAATGGAAGTTTTAAAGAAAGAATCAAAATGATGTTTCCAAATGATCGAAACAGTGGTGGTATGTGGGCCACATAGGTAAGGAACAGAAGGAGGACACATGATTTGGAATTTATTTCAGCAGTCAGACAAGGGGTAACCAGGCCTCATTCAAGAAGGGATGGACAAAAGACCAGAGAATTCACAAGGCTTGGTGATTAAACATGGTTTCATGTCTGACTGAGAATATGGGGGAAATATAACAAATGAATGAAAGAGAGAAATGGGAAGTTGAAGAGGAAGAGGTGATTTTGGAGAGGGGACATTTTATTTTGGAGAAAACAACCAACACATAACAGAAATGTAGATATTTCTGGAAAGAAATATAGGAACTTCCTTTCACAGGGATATAGATAGAGCCACTGGCACGAGGATAATACATAAGCGAAGTCATGAGAGAGTGATCACAGTGAAGCATAAAACCATAAGACCTGCCACAACTCAGGGAGCAGAAGGAAGAAGAAGAGCCAAAAAGGAGAGAAAGAGGAGAAGGAAAACCAAAACAATGTACTGTTAAACCAATTTAAGAGAATCATAAAGAGAGGTCAGTCAACAAAGACAGGTGGTGCTCAAAGAGAAGGAATATTGAGGGAAAAAACCACACTACTGGGCAATTGAAACCTAATCAGAAAACTATGGAGAAACAAAGTTTCTCCACATATTTTCTAGTCTGGTGCTACAAGATGTGTCTAATAAAAAATAATTTTACGTTTTTTTAAATATTTTATTTATTTATTTATTCATGAGAGACACGCACACACAGATTGAGAGAGAGAGTGAGAGAGAGAGAGAGAGAGAGGCAAAGACACAGGCAGAGGGAGAAGCAGGCCCCATGCAGGGAGCCCAAAGTGGGACACCATCACGCCCTGGGCTGAAGGCAGCGCTAAACTGCTGAGCCACCCAGGCTGCCCAATTTTATGTTTAAATATGTGTAGGAAGCATATATTATAGAGAAGAGTTTCTCAAACTGTGAATTACCGGCCTTTAGGGCATTGATCATTCTTTGTTGGTAGAGGTGGTAGGGGACACTTGTCCTGTGCATTGGAGGACACTCAGTAATACCCCTGGCTATCTACCCCCTCGATGCCAGTGATACTCTTCCCTAGTCATGACAATCAAAAATGTCTCCAGATATTACCAAATGTCCCCTGGAGACCAAATCAATCCCCTTCCATTGAGAACCACTGTTAGGGTGTCTACCCCTAGCAAATGTTCAGCCTTAGATTCACAAAACACATTGCACAGTGCATTGTAAATTAAATGTTCTAAAAGTTACACACCAAGTAAAATTTCTCAAAACGTTTTCAAACCAGAGTTTTGCAAATTCATGTGACCCAGAACTTGTATTTCTGACAACCTTCAAAACTGATAGAGCAGACATGCTCTAGCAAACGGTGTCTGAGCCAACACTGGATCAATGGAAGAAGAAAGAAGATTGCTGCCAGACTTCGGAAGGGGGTCCGCAAGGCCTCAGTCTTCTCCCTCTGTCCTGCTGACACACTCCCTATTACCCATTAGTCTTCACTTCCCTTGGTAGCACCTCAAAAACTTCAACATCTTCAAACCCTAATGAAACAGACCAGTGATGATATCAAGAGGCTATTATGGTCCACCTTGGGGAGATATTTGCAAACATCTTATCAAGCCTATTTCATTTGCTAGCCACTCGTTTTATTCTGAATTGTTCCACTGACTCCAGGAGCATGAGAGGACTGAACTTGGTGAGGAAGAATTAAGCCTCCTTTTCTCTCTTGTTGAGTCTGAGGTCAGAACTGAAACTTCCAGAGATTGGAGCAAAAGGCAACAGCACCCCCTAGTGGCAGGCATGCTGCAGTCCCTTGAGTGGTTGGTACAAGAGCTTTAGGCGCTGGAGTTAAACTACTCAGGAAAAAGAAACGTTGCATCCTCTTAGTCTCCCAGTCAAGTGCTTGTTAAGCTAATAAGTAATCCAGGCTGTATCTCTTTTTCCATTAAAGCGTCATCGTGTGAATAGTTTGAGAATGAAAAACGGCTGCTAGGCAGTACTTTATCTAAAGGAATTTTTCAGCAAAACAATGACAGTTAAGTGCTTTACCATATGCCTAATAAGATGCCCATCTCTGCTGGTAGCACTGCATTCAGTACTGTGATTTGTGCATTATTTTGTCTGTTTATGTATTATTTATTTTTTTATTTTTTTAATTTAGAGATGGACATTTATTGAATACACCACAAGGGAGCAGTGGCGAACAGCAAAGGAGAGGCTGCCTGCATTATTTTAAAGTGAGGTTCACAAAAAAAGAAAGAAAAATTGAGGTCACTAGATTAATACTCTCTGTTGGTATCCAGTCCCAAGGA